AATAGGCGAGTACAAATAGACGAGTACACCAGGAGCTGTGACCACAAATAAGCGAGTACACACACACACAAAATTCAATTTAAACCAGCAAATAATAGAGCCTACTAGACTGGAGAATACACTAGACCTCATCTTCACTAACAATGATGATCTGATAAGAAATGTCACCATATCAAAAACAATATACTCAGATCACAACACAATTGAGGTTCAGACATGTATGCGCGGAGCCCCAGACCGACATAATGAGACTAGTCACGAGGGAGCATTCACCAAATTCAACTTCAATAACAAAAACATAAAGTGGGACCAAGTAAACCAAGTCCTAACCGATATACGCTGGGAAGATATACTAAGCAACACAGACCCCAACTTATGCCTAGAACAGATTAACTCGGTGGCACTCGATGTATGCACAAGGCTTATTCCTCTAAGAAAAAGGAGGAGTAGATGTAAAATAGAAAGAGACAGGCGCTCCCTTTACAGGCGACGGAAAAGAATAACAGAGCGGCTAAAAGAGGTCAATATATCTGAAATGCGTAGGGAGACACTGGTCAGAGAAATAGCAAGCATCGAACTTAAGCTAAAGGAATCTTATAGGAGTCAGGAATCGCGGGAAGAACTAAAAGCCATAAATGAAATCGAAAGAAACCCAAAGTATTTCTTCTCCTATGCCAAATCAAAGTCGAGAACAACGTCCAGTATTGGGCCCCTACTTAAACAAGATGGGTCCTACACAGATGACAGCAAGGAAATGAGTGAGCTACTCAAGTCCCAATATGACTCAGTTTTTAGCATGCCGCTAACCAGACTGAGTCGAAGATCAAAATTAATTTTTTATGAGAGAGCCACAGAATTTGATTAACACAAGCCTATCCGATGTTATCCTGACGCCAAATGACTTCGAGCAGGCGATAAATGACATGCCCATGCACTCTGCCCCAGGGCCAGACTCATGGAACTCCGTGTTCATCAAGAACTGCAAGAAGCCCCTCTCACGAGCCTTTACCATCCTATGGAGAGGGAGCATGGACACGGGGGTCGTTCCACAGTTACTAAAAACAACAGACATAGCCCCACTCCACAAAGGGGGCAGTAAAGCAACAGCAAAGAACTACAGACCGATAGCACTAACATCCCATATCATAAAAATCTTTGAAAGGGTCCTAAGAAGCAAGATCACCACCCATCTAGAAAACCCATCAGTTACACAACCCAGGGCAACATGGGTTTAGAACAGGTCGCTCCTGTCTGTCTCAACTATTGGATCACTACGACAAGGTCCTAGATGCACTAGAAGACAAAAAGAATGCAGATGTAATATATACAGACTTTGCAAAAGCCTTCGACAAGTGTGACCATGGCGTAATAGCGCACAAAATGCGTGCTAAAGGAATAACAGGAAAAGTCGGTCGATGGATCTATAATTTCCTCACTAACAGAACACAGAGAGTAGTCGTCAACAGAGTAAAGTCCGAGGCAGCTACGGTGAAAAGCTCTGTTCCACAAGGCACAGTACTCGCTCCCATCTTGTTCCTCATCCTCATATCCGACATAAACAAGGATGTCAGCCACAGCACCGTGTCTTCCTTTGCAGATGACACCCGAATCTGCATGACAGTGTCTTCCATTGCAGACACTGCAAGGCTCCAGGCGGACATCAACCAAATCTTTCAGTGGGCTGCAGAAAACAATATGAAGTTCAACGATGAGAAATTTCAATTACTCAGATATGGTAAACATGAGGAAATTAAATCTTCATCAGAGTACAAAACAAATTCTGGCCACAAAATAGAGCGAAACACCAACGTCAAAGACCTGGGAGTGATTATGTCGGAGGATCTCACCTTCAAGGACCATAACATTGTATCAATCGCATCTGCTAGAAAAATGACAGGATGGATAATGAGAACCTTCAAAACTAGGGAGGCAAAGCCCATGATGACACTCTTCAGGTCACTTGTTCTATCTAGGCTGGAATATTGCTGTACACTAACAGCACCTTTCAAGGCAGGTGAAATTGCCGACCTAGAAAATGTACAGAGAACTTACAGGGCGCGCATAACGGAGATAAAACACCTCAATTACTGGGAGCGCTTGAGGTTCCTAAACCTGTATTCCCTGGAACGCAGGAGGGAGGGAGATACATGATTATATACACCTGGAAAATCCTAGAGGGACTAGTACCGAACTTGCACACGAAAATCACTCACTACGAAAGCAAAAGACTTGGATGATGATGCAACATCCCCCCAATGAAAAGCAGGGGTGTCACTAGCACGTTAAGAGACCATACAATAAGTGTCAGGGGCCCGAGACTGTTCAACTGCCTCCCAGCACACATAAGGGGGATTACCAACAGACCCCTGGCAGTCTTCAAGCTGGCACTGGACAAGCACCTAAAGTCAGTTCCTGATCAACCAGGCTGTGGCTCGTACGTTGGTTTGCGTGCAGCCAGCAGCAACAGCCTGGTTGATCAGGCGCTGATCCACCAGGAGGCCTGGTCACAGACCGGGCCGCGGGGGCGTTGACCCCCGGAACTCTCTCCAGGTAAACTCCAGGTAATACCTTTAAGAAGAGGTATAATAAGGCTCTTGGAGTAGGAAGTGACCTAGTAGCAACTAGTGAAGAGGCGAGGCCAAGAACTGTGACTTGACCCCTGCAACCACATATAGGTGAGTACACTAGGAATAAAATCGAGTCTGTTTTAAGGGGTGTAGGTACCAGTAGTTTCCAGATAATAGTTTGTGACTGTCTCCTCTGATTAGCTTCAAATTTTGAAAGCTGATATTTAACATTATAAACTTAAATTTCATTCTGCAGCATTCGTTTTTGTGTAAATTGAGGTAGAGGGGGCTCGGCTGAGGAATACAAGGATTCCTTTCTCAGATCATGTCACAGTCGAAATATTTAAGAGTTATTACATTTTTAGGGGAATGCTAGCAGCATGACCCTTGTCGGTTTAGCAATTTATTTGATTATAATAGAAGAATGCTAAACCCTGAGTAATCACACCACATGGAGGAGGAGAGGCAATCAGATTCGATCAAAAAAAGGGAAGAGACACTTCTAGTTCCCTGGATCAAGAGCCTTTCACAGGCATCAAGGCACCTCCTTGGAAGGATGTGCTGTGGTAACAAAAAAAAATTGAAGTGTGCCACAAAGTGTGGACAATGTTTCATGAAAGAATGTTGAATATGGGTACGGAAGTCGGCATTAAATCCAAAATTAATCATAGTGCCAGACCATATGACATACCTTACCTCTCTTTCATTATTAATTACCCTCTTGGGGGAGCACTAAATCCATAAGGGTCATACAGCACCTTGGGGAATGGAAGGTAATCGGATTCAATCCAAGGAAAGGAAACACAGGCCCAACTCCTTAGATCAAGAGCCCTTCACCAGTATCAAGGAACCTCCCTTGAGGGGTCCCTCTCTTGCAGATATTTTTAGTATTCAAGAGGAAGCACTAAACCTGACGGGCGTCATATAATGCCTGGGAGAGGGTACAGTAGAGTTGTGTGGCCGTTGAATTGTTCAGGGTTAGGAGAGCCAGGGAAGTCATCCTTAGAGAGACAGTTTAGTTACTGCCATATTGCGTAACTGGGCAATGGCAGGAACATGCAGGGTGTGCTTCACCACAGTTAAAGCAAATGGGGAAAAGGTTGGATGTAGGATGGATTATCTTATGATCAACTGTACCACAGACTGGGTATTCTACCAGTGATCTGCAATATTTGTCTGGGTGGCCAAAGCACCATCATTGTCTACATTGCTGAAGTGTTGGTTGGAATTCCCTTACCTTTTAAGTGCTGTCCATTACATATGCTGAGGATGAAAGGGTCTTGGCACTCAAAGGTTCATTTTCCTATAGTACTCAGATAACCTCTCCAACCTTAGGGAGGGCATGACATAAGATTCTACCCTGATGATAGAAAATTTTGAAGCTCAAGTTGTTCATGAATGTTTGAGACATATTGTGTAAATTCTTGTTGTATTATAGTACGTAGGATGAGGAAAGCTCCATAGCTTGAAATGAGGAAGGAATGTCTATGTATTGTAACTAGGACAATGTCAGTAGTGTATATGATCAAGGTTGTTGTCTTGTTCTGCATCATATATGATGACAATATGCTTCCCACTCTTGAGGACATAGAAAGATATGTTTTTGCTGACATATCTCACAAGTGCTTTGTCAATGCTATCATCTATAAGGTATTCTCGACTGTAGGTGTTGTCGGCTTAGAGCAAAAAAAAAAAAAAAATCGTGTAAGTGTTCTCAAGTCTTGTAAGGGAAGAGGTTTCCATTATTATTATAATCAAGGGGGAAGTGCTAAACCTGGAGGATTATACAGCGCCTGGGGGGGGATGTGGAAGGCATTCAGGCTTAATTCGGGGAACTGGAGCACAGATCCAATTCCCTAAATCAAGAGCCCCTCACCAACATCAAGGAACCTTCTTTGAGGGGTAAGTGTTTCCAGATAGTATATTTCTTAGGATATGAGCAAAACGTTAAGTCAGTTATAGTAGTATCATGATCATCAAGTATATGTTGAGGTCGAGATCATTTGGATTATGTGACCCCATGAATGATCCAAAAATACACTCAAAGGAGAAGCCAGGGTTATTATAATCATGGGGAAGTGCTAAACCCATAGGATTATACAGCACACATGGGGGAAGATGGAAAGTATTCAGGCTCAATTCAGGGAACCAGAGCACAGATCCAATTCCTTACATCAAGAGCTCCTCACCAGTGTCAAGGAACCTCCCTTGAGAAGAGCAGAGGTCAGAAGTAACAAGTGGATCAGGGTGAACACTGGTACAAAATTATATTTTTTATTATTGTTGTAGTTGGGGAAGCATTAAGCCATGAGGGTCATACAGAGCCAGGAACAAGATTTTTTTTTTCTACAGAGAACCTGGTAAATGCCCACAGAAGCATGGCTTAACTTTTAAAACTAAATGAGCTAAGGCTAGAGAAACAAATTTGAGCTTGTCCATTTTTATTTTTGTTATAAACTTTGCATGTTGTAATTTTTTGACTGTTGGGCCCCAACTTTTTTTTTTACTTAAATATAAAAAAAACATTGCACAAAAATATTGCTGAAAATAATATGTAACATTCTGTCAAACAGATCCATTACATTCAGGGACAAAACTGCACATGAATAAATGAAATGATTTGTATATAAAGTTTCTTACACTTCTTTTAAAACCTTAAGCAATGCTACATTCAGTACAGTTTACATTGAGATATATAAACAGTTGAATGCCATCTTTCAACACCACTGAAACACGTATTTTATTAATGACAATGTACCTCGTTACCACTGTGTGCATCTCATTCACCATTTGCATCTTATTGTACTTAATGTCAACAAATCTGTTAAATATACACTTTTAGCAATAATATAAACAGATTCACTGCAATCACTGAAAAATCTATAAAGTAATTCTGCAAGACAATATTTTTATCAACTATACACATAATCAAAGTAAGAAATATACATTCCTATTTACTAATTTAAATTGATAAGTGTAACATCTACCACTCAGTGATACATATTCAATTATATTTGGATGCTTAGCAGCCCATCTAACACATTAACCAGGATTCACTTTATGCTAACTCAACCACAATACATACCAGAATAAAGTTTAAATATTCACTAATTAATTACAGTAGTTTGCTTTATTGTTAATGTTCTACCTCACTTGCCTATACAATTATGATCACAAAAAAGTTCTGAAATTATGAGTTATATAGTGTTGCAGTACCAGCTACTAATTTTCCTCAGTGTAACACTGTCCTGTCAGTAAACACTTCTCCATTTGTGCATATTTATTACAGCAATCTTAATTCTTTCCATTTTTTGTCTCATATAGGTTTAGGGCTGTTTTGGGACAACAGTACGATTGTAATAAATCAAACTAATGGCAAAACAGTCTTGTATGTGGTAAAACCAGGATATGGTATTAGTACTGCCTTTATTTTTAATAAGTCTGTATTAGTTTCTCCATAAGACCACACTTTCATGGATGAGGAGGAGGTTCCTGTTGAAAGAAAGCATGCCTCAGTGATATTGATAATTATTATCATTTTTACATTCATTGGGGAGCACTAAACATGTGTGCCTAAGAGAGGAATGGGAGGCATTCAGGCTTGCTCCGAAGAAGGGGAGGGCAGGTGCTCAAAGATATGGATAAATCAGCTACTTCAGTACAGTTTTCAAATACAGTACCTGTTTCCATTTCCACTGTAATACTGAAAGATTTAATTTGATGTTTACTGTCCTTGGCTGATGCTTCATACCATCAACACTTAATAACTGTTTAAAAGGTTTGCTCTTGTTTCTTTTATACTCCAGTTTATATCGCATTCAATCATATCGTATTCAATTATATTATTTTCTTGGAAAGCACTAAACCTGTTACACCCATACAGCAATCCACTAAAAGGCAGCAGAGGGGTGTTCAGCTAAGGACAGCAGCAGGAAGATGGGGTGTTGGGTTGGGTGTTGCACTGTAGCAAATCAGTCAGTTAAGGGATGTCTCTGCATTAACTTAATCATAAAGCATGAGTAGCTATCACACACAATTTTGTACATGTATTTTTGATTCTTAAGGAAATCCAAATTGTACGATACTGTGCAATGAAAAACCCTGCAAGAGTATGAAGGTAAAAAATGCATTTTTATTCAAACATCTTTAAGTAGTTTTTCTTGAAAAAGTTGCCTGAATGTATTTCTTCCCTAAATATTGAATCACAGCTAACAAAAGTTACACTACTGCATTTCCTTGATATAATTCAGACATTCGTATATATTTAATTTATAATGAATGAACACACAAAAAATACCCAATATATACTTGAGGTATAAACATTATGACAGCAGTACTGTATTAAAATCATGCCTACTCACATGTACTGCATGTACTGTAAATTACATGCACACAATACATAACATTCATTTATTAAAGGGCAGTTCGACCAACATTTTGTACCTAATGACAGCCAATATATAAGTCTAACAAAACTCAATATGTGTATTAACATTTCTGTTGTCACTATGGATATTGTCATATACCATATAGGTTACCAATACTGTAAATAAGCCTTGAATGTGTGCAGTGGAGGCTGTACAAATAAATCTGATTAAACTGCAATTAGAAGTACAAAAAAAGAAAACAGAACACTTTTATTACTTATTTCTTGTAACATTCATCTCTTTTTAATAAATGACACTGATAGTAAGGGTGAACTCAACATCTCAACCACACTTCTGGCAAGACAGCTACTGAGTGATGGTGAATGTGTTTTCTTTGGGTTACTTTAACTTGGTGGGAAATGGCAAAGTTGTAAAAAAAATGCATAATTTTTTTTTTTTAACCATTTTTTTTTTACTATAGCTAACATGTTGAGTTCGTTCTATCGACTTCACCTAGTATGCTCTCTTCTACTTGTCTTCCTACTCATAGGTTTGCTATTTAGCTTAAGTGTCATGAGGAGGATTTTCAACATTGATAAATGGAAAGTCAAAACAGATCATAAACTGTTCTTTCCAGACATAAATAACATGCATACTTGTAATATAGGTGGATCACTGATTTTTATTTAACTTTTTTGTTAGCTCCTGATTAGCATTTTGGGGAGTAGGTACCATACTGCCAATGTAAGAACACACACAAAGTTGAAAATGAACTTATACTGTTGTAAGAACACATATATCTTAAAAAAAAAAAAAAAAAAAAGTTGCATTTTCACTTATCATTCATCTGTGTACAGTATGTTGAAAACCCTACTGATGAAAGTTAAGCAACTACACATATGAGTTGAACAAGCTGGCCTTGTTAAAAGTACATGAATACATTTCTCACATTATCCATCTGACACCCTGGTAACCCCCAAACCTTAATCTACCTCAGTTAGCATTTCCTCAGGTAAGAAAGGCACCAAAGATTAAAAAGATTTTACAGTTTTATGATAAACGAGATTATGTAAAATGAAACGACTGTATATAAATGAATAATGACTGTAAAGCTGATAAACTATCAAGAGGCAAATTCCTGTATGTATGGATCTTACAAAAAAAAAAAAAAAAGTGAAAATGCTACACTCTACATGAAACGCCAATTGGGCGGAGTTATAAATAAATCTTTACTACAATACTCAGTGCCTACTGCTAGAGGTACATGTGACTAGGGATTGTAACATCATGTGGCAAATCTTAGTGTTATTTGATTATATTTCATGAGCAAATTCTCATTCTCAATGAAGTGCTATACTCTATAAATATAAGGTTTCATCAAATATCTATGCTTGAACTACTGTACATGAATTTCAAAAATATATTTCCATCTATACCTACAGCCAAGTATAATGCAACTGTCTACTACTAATAAATTTTTAATTTAAAGTCCAATTTTTTTTTTTTTTCAATAATGACTTTGGTCAAAATTTTAATTCAAAATCTACTTTACTGCAGCGTGTTACACCTTTTAGAAGAAAATGTTTCTTGAACAGTTGCTCTTCATACAGTATAAGAATAATTTTTACATATAATTATACACCTTTAAATTTTATTACAAAGCATTCTCATCCTTGCTTATTTTTAGATGCTAATCAGCTTGAAACAAAATTGTCAATACCTTTTTGACCATAATGCCATTTTAATTAATGATGTCACCATAGTTGCAAAAACTATATAGTTTTGTTATATTTTGTCAGCAATCCTAAAGTAGTTTTCTTGTACTAACCTTAATTGTTTACATTAGATAAAAGGTAGCAACTTCATTTATTTGATAACAATTGCAATGTAAATTGATTAACAAATGTTTCAAAGGCTGATGGTGGGTTCTCAAAAGAATATACCGAGCTGCTTTCAAAACTCTATTACTGTTATGGTAAATCATCAATTTTCCAGTACCCTCAGGTTACGGTAAGGGTGTGCTGGATACTCAGTCACACTGAAAAAATATATTTTTAATAGTCCTTATTTGCTGCATAGCATTATCTATTTAGGTCCCCTCAAGGGAGGTGCCACTGAGGGGGGCTTGATTCATTAAATGTGCCTATCCTCTCCTTTCTTGGATCAAACCTGAATGCCTCACATTTCCCATTCACTGTATGACCCCATGGGTTTAGTGCCTTTCCCTAAATATTATCAACTTAGATGCTGTATCGAATAAGACTATAAGATAGCGCTGAACACTGAATAAATGATTGCGAGATAGTTGATAATCTACTATATTACTTTCAGGGGAAAGTGCTAAATCTGAAAGGGGGTCATACAGCACCTGGAAGGTTATCATGTTTGATCCAAAAAAGGAAAGGGTAGCTCAAATTTCTAGGGATGACTAATCCTTCATTTAAGTTAAGGCTCAAAACTTCAATAGTCATACCAGCCTTTCTCCCAAGTTCTGGAATGGCATTTTGAAATTCAATTTTCAACAAAACTAGTGATAGAGATGCTGCCTTAAATATAAGGAAAGTAGTATGATGTGTAAGCAACATTTATTTGCATTATTAATGGGAAGAATTTTAGTTAAGTGCTGACAGATCTGTTTCATAAAGAGAGATTCTGTTTAGGTCCCAATTCTTGATTGTGGTAATGATAAAACTTGTATAGTATTTTTTTTTTGGACCAGTAACATAATATTGCAGAATGCATCTACATCAACAAAAATATACTTGATTCCTCAAAAAATAAACATAATAATGGAAATAAATGATATGTATAAAAAAGAAAATACTTGTGACATAACAGAGAACACATTTGAACTTTATTCAAATTAAAAATTTTTGCCACCAAGAAAAGTTACTGTGAAAACAATACTTGTTATGGTAAAAACGTGTCCTGGAGCAATGTACAATTATCACACAGTGTGGCAGTCAGCTATTAAGAGCTGAATAAACCCAATATGGCACTTGTTAATATTTGTATGAGAGTCACTTCTCCCAAGTTACTGGAAAATTATATACATTTCATACAGTGTGATACAATATTCAGATGTGAACATGGAACAGACAGAAAACTTCTGTTCAGAGAAGTAATACTCAGAATATGACTTTTGAGCAGTAAAAAACACTTAAACTTGAGCCATGGTGTATTCTTATTTACAATTCTACAGCGTAAGACTTAGAGTAGACAAGTTTAAACTCATACACACACACAACAACATTCATATAACTATCAAGCCACATTGATACACAAATATATTGTCTATGTACATGTCTCATATAAATACATTATACATATCTCCAGTATGCATCAACATGGGGCCAATCACACTACAATATTCATGTGCCATAGCACTGTTTGGGAGTTAGAAAGCTATTTTTTAATTCCCTATCACTTCTTGAACATCTAAGGCATGTTATACCCACTCACGGGATGATTCTAAAACAAATCTGACTCAATACATAGTATTGCTTATATACTGAAATTAGACTATTTATAGTCTGGTGTAATTTTCTCCACCAAGTCATGGGTACATTCTGAGCAAAAATCTGTGAGCACAAGATGAAGCTATTATATAAGCTGCCACAATGAGCTACTTAGTACTAAGTAGGTAAGCCTCTTAAATGGATGAGCTGGTATGAAAAAAAAAAAAATGGATGCAACATAACTCTACTGCTCATGAGATGAGCACTTACATGTTTAAACTGCCACAAATCTGCAGCATTCTCTATAATAGACAATTTTTTAGTGACTGAAAGTTGCCTCAAGCACTTGTCATTTTTGTAGAACCGGTGTCACAACACTGAGTAACTCTTTAAATCTGATAAAGAGCAAAGCTACTTTGTAAAAAAAAAAAAAAAATTGTCTTCAGATGGTTTATTAGAATGCTATGTAGGTGTAACTGAAGCAAAATCACTTACGACACCTCCACTGCTACCTGACAAAGTGCATGCAGCTGCTATTAGTGTTCCACGCATGCGTCCCCTCGTGGAACCCAGTCCTCTAATAGGAAATATGGGGCTAGCCGAGGCTGATGCAGGTCCCAAACGATAGGTACGAACTGGCACTGGGCTTGGGCAAGCAGATACTGATCCTCTCAAAAAAGTTCTGGGACCAGTTGTGAAGGTACTGATAGATGGAGGATGTTGTACTGCTGGTTGACTATCTTGTTGCTGCCAGCTTTCAATGTAGAGGTTTGTATCTACAGATGATGATGGACCCAATACTCTGCGCTGTTCTGAAAAATAAATCAAATAATTAGAATATTTTTTTCATAATATATATATATAAATCTATAGGGGAAGGAAAGAGGGATAGGAGTCGTCCTCGAAAGGGTTGGAAAAAGGGGGTAAAGGAGGTTTTGTGGGCGAGGGGCTTGGACTTCCAGCAAGCGTGCATGAGCGTGTTAGATAGGAGTGAATGGAGACGAATGATACTTGGGACCTGACGATCTGTTGGAGTGTGAGCAGGGTAATATTTAGTGAAGGGATTCAGGGAAACCGGTTATTTTCATATAGTCGGACTTGAGTCCTGGAAATGGGAAGTACAATGCCTGCATTTTAGAGGAGGGGTTTGGGATATTGGCAGTTTGGAGGGATATGTTGTGTATCTTTATACGTATATGCTTCTAAGCTGTTGTATTCTGAGCACCTCTGCAAAAGCAGTGATAATGTGTGTGTGGTGAAAGCGTTGAATGATGATGAAAGTATTTTCTTTTTGGGGATTTCCTTTCTTTTTTTGGGTCACCCTGCCTCGGTGGGATACGACCGACTTGTTGAAAAAAAAAAAAATTATATATATATATATATTATATATATATATATATATATATTATATATATATATATTATAATCATGGGAAGTGCTAAGCCCATAGAGAAATGGTGGGTAATCAGCTTTGATTCAAGAAAAATGTTAACTCCAATTCCCTGAATTGAGAAAAAAAAAAAAAAAAAAAACTTTGCAAACATCAAGGCCCTTGTTACAGCCCTTGAAGGGCTGTAACATTATAGAATCACAATTCCTGAGCAAACCCACAAACATAATAAACATAAGCCAGTGATAAAAGAAAGAGCATTGCAAATAACCACAAGCTATCCCAATGTAAGAAAAAAAATACACAGGGATAAAGAAGGTGAAAGTTCAATTGATATGACCCCTCAAGGGAGGTTCCTTGACACTGGTGAGGGGCTCTTGATCTAGGGAATTGGATCTGTGCTCCGGTTCCCTGAATCGAGCCTGAATATCTTCCATCCCCCCCACATGTGCTGTATAATCCTACGGGTTTAGCGCTTCCCTGCGATAATAATAATAATCAACTGATATGATCCCTAAGTAAATGGAAGCAGGTATATGTAAGCATACCCTTTAAGGGGACAATTTGATGTCAGGATTGAGGTTACCTTCCCTTCCTTGAATTCAGTCTGATCACCCTTCATTCTGCACATGTTATGTGATTTTTCACAGGTTTAACATTTCCCTATGAATGTACTATCAGCAATGATAATAAAATAATATGTGAGTATCTTAGATCAGAGTGTGAGCAGAGTAATGTTAATGAAGGGATTCAGGAAAATTGGTTAGTCATCTTCAGTATCAGAAGTTAAAAATATGTATAGTGCCAGCATTTTGAGTCGTGTATGTGGTTCAGAGGCTCAACAATGGATTGGACATTTGTGTGCTTCTGTAAAAGGAGAAAAAGCATCAGTGATGGTGAATGTGCTTTCTTCTTTGGATCACCATGTGTTGATGATCCTTATTACATTAAATTCGCAAAGTACAGGCGACTCTCGGTTAATAACCTAGATAGGGACCAAACAAGCAGTTCATCAAGCAAAAAATATGTTAAGTGAATTGCATTTTTCCAGAGAAACCAATGTTATAACCCAAGATGTGTTCTGGAACATTAATATTCTGAATTTAATTCCTGTTCATTTTTAAGAGGATATGGGATGATGAAATTTATAATTACACATTGTACACATGAGACAAGATTGGCTTTCCTCTCTCCCATTCCCTACTTCAATCTCTCCCATACCTTCTCCTTACTCTCCCATTCCCCACTCCTCAGTATCCACTATGCTGTATATCAATGAAATATTATAACTTACCTGCTAAAATTTTAGCAGTCACCAACAAAACTTAAATATATTTTGAAAAAATAAAAATAACCATCTTATTTAAATACCCTTTGCTTTATAGCCCTTGTGGTTTAGCACTTCTTTTTTATTATAATAATAATAATTAAATACCCTTTCTCTCAAAGTGCTGGTAAAATGCCTCAATAAATTTCCTAATGTTCCAACAATTCATACCTAATAATCTATCCATTGTGAATGGTATAGGTGGGTAAACATGACCAGATGTGTGTTCAGAGTCTAGCACAATCACTCCACTAGCTGTAGTAGTGAAGGAGAGGGGGACAGACATGGCGGACGGTCTCACGTAAGTAACTCCAGCTCTATTAGTGGCTACATTTGGTCTATTTGTAGAGGCAGCAGGAAGAGATGGCAAAAGATGTTCCATCACTGTCAACTCACCACTATTTTCTTCAGGGACTGTGTCACACTCTCTTTCTGTAATGAATAATAAATTTTATTGTATATAGTAAGCACTTACCAAGTAATATACAGTACAGGCAGTATTCTAGTGGTGCTGTCTGCACAATCTAAAATTCAATATAACTATAGTACAGAAATTGCTCAATTCTTTGACTCATGGGGAATAGGGAGAGAGTAACTTAAGTATAAAACAAGTTTTGTCTGAATTTTAGTTTGTATTGTTATTATTACTTTATTACTGCAGCTAGTTCAACAGAACAAGTTTCTGTAAGTACAGGAGGGCCTCACTTAAACAGCAGGTTAGGTTCCAGGCTACCACTGTAAAGCAAAAATTGCTGCAAAGTTAATCATAGCCTTTTTTCACTTTCAAATGCATATAAAAGCCTGCATCCACTTGAAGACTTCTTTCTACACTTGTCCTAGGAGTGTTTCTGATATCTTCTGGTAAGATGTTGAATAGCCAAAATACACCAAAAGGTTCATTTTTTTTCCTAGGAGGAACTAGGGTTCCTAATTAATTTGATGACCTAAAAGAGCAGATCACAAGAAGCTTCAACAGGCTTTCTCTTTTGGGTATACACGTATTTGTGTAGTACATAGTAACACCCCAATGGAGGTGCCCTGATGCCAGTGAGAAGCTCTTGATCCAAGGGACTGGACTTATATTCCCCCTTTTTAATGGAATCTGAATACCTCCCAATACAATAAAATAAGAATCTTTCCTCCGTAAGCCAGGCGTGTTGTAAAAGTCAACTAAAATGCCAGGAACAATGAGCTAGTAACCCCTTTTCCTGTAAAGATTACTAAAAAGAATAAGAAGAAAATTGTCAAAGTGGGAAGTCTGAATGTGCGTGGATGTTGTGCAAATGATAATAAAGAGATGATTGTGGATGTTATAAATGAGAAGAAGCTGGATGTCCTGGCTTTAAGTGAAACAAAGCTGAAGGGGGTGGGAGAGTTTAAATGGAGAGGAATAAATGGGATTAGGTCAGGGGTTTCAAACAGAGTTAGAGCTAAAGAAGGAGTAGCAATAATGTTGAAGGATAAGCTATGGCAGGAAAAGAGGGACTACAAATGTATTAATTCAAGGATTATGTGGAGTAAACCCCTCAAGGAAGGTTCCTTGATGTTGGTGAGGGGCTCTTGATTTAGGGAATTGGATCTGTGCTCCAGTTCCCCAAATTAACCCTGAATGCCTTCCACATCCCCCCCCCCCAGGCGCTGTATAATCCTCCGGGTTTAGCGCTTCCCCTTGATTATAATAATAATATGTGGAGTAAAATAAAGATTGGATGTGAAAAGTGGGTTATAGTAAGCGTGTATGCACCTGGAGAAGAGAGAAGTGTAGAGGAGAGAGAGAGATTTTGGGAAATGTTGAGTGAATGCGTGGGGAGTTTTGAATCAAATGTGAGAGTAATGGTGGTTGGGGATTTCAATGCTAAAGTGGGTAAAAATGTTGTGGAAGGAGTAGTAGGTAAATTTCGGGTGGCGGGGGGTAAATGTAAAGGGGGGCCCTTTAATTGAGCTATGTGTAAAAGAGTTTTGGTAAAAAGTAATACTTTTTTAAAAAAGAGGAAAAATAAATTACAAGGTATGTTTGTGCATGAAATGAAAGTAGTTTTTTAGATATGTTTTGGGTGGAAAAAAGGTTGGGGGTTTTGGCCCCAGGATGTACATTTTTATAGGGGGCAACTGTAATCGGATCTTTTTTATTTTTACAGCTACAGTTAGAGTAAGAGGTAGAGGGGAAAAGGGAGGTGGAAAAAACAAGAAAGGGGGAGGTAAAAAGGTTAAACTAAGGGGGAGGAAGTTCGGGTGAGAAATAAGCGACTATTGGCAGAAAGGTGGGTAGGCAAAGATGAGTTGGGGGGGTTGAAGGGTTGGGAAAGTTTTAAAAATGCATTTTAGAATGTGGGGAAAAGCTTGGGGTTTTTGGGAGGGTGGGGGAGGAGGAAGGGAGTGATTGGGGGAAATGATAAAAAAAGGGGTGTGATAAAAGAGAAAAAGGGTTAGCTTATGAGAGGTTTTTAAAAGAGGTTGTTAAAAGAAGAGCAGAGTATATGGAAGTAAAAAAAAAGGTAAAGAGAGTGGTGAGAGAGTGCAAAAGGAGAGAATGTTGAGTGGGGGGGCACTGTCAAAATTTTTTAAAAAAAAAATAAAAAAAATTTTGGATGAGTTAAAAAATTTAAGAAGCCTGGGGAAAGTATGGTTTGTCAGTTAAAAACAGAGGGGGGGTTAGTAGATGGGGAGAGGGAGGTTGGAGATAGGGAATATTTTGAGGAACTTTTAAAAGTTGGGAAGAAAGGGGGGCGGTTTTCATGCACGGCCCGGGGGGGTTTAACCATCTTTTAGGAGTGAAGAAGAGCAGAAGTAAATGTGGGGGAGGGGACATGAGGCATTAATAGAATTTAAAAAGGGGGGTAAAGCAGCTGGAATGATGGATAGACAGAAAAATTTAAAAGCAGGGGGGGGTATATGTTGGAGTGTTTTTATTTTTTTCAATAAATGTTGAAAAAGGGGGGGAAGGGTACCTAGGGGTTGGCAGGAGAGCATTATAGTCCCTTTATTAAAGGGAAAGGGAAAAAAAATGTAAAATTTAAATTTTACTGAGTAACCAGGGAAAATTCGGTTTTTGGGTTTTTAAATTTAAAAAATTAGAGGGAAGACAGAATGTAGGGTTTCGGATGAGCAGGGAGGTTTTAGAGTGGGTAGGGGATGTGTAGATCAAGTGTTTACATTGAAGCATATATGTGAACAGTATTTAGATAAAGGTAGGGAAGTTTTTATTGCATTTATGGATTTAGAAAAGGCATATGATAGAGTAGATAGAGGAGCAATGTGGCAGATGTTGCAAGTATATGAAATAGGTGGTAAGTTACTAAATGCTGTAAAGAGTTTTTATGAGGATAGTGAGGCTCAGGTTAGGGGTGTAGAGAGAGGGAGACTACTTCCCGGTAAAAGTAGGTCTTAGACAGGGATGTGTAATGTCACCATGGTTGTTTAATATATTTATAGATGGGGTTGTAAAAGAAGTAAATGCTAGGGTGTTCGGGAGAGGGGTGGGATTAAATTATGGGAATCAAATTCAAAATGGGAATTGACACAGTTACTTTTTGCTGATGATACTGTGCTTATGGGAGATTCTAAAGAAAAATTGCAAAGGTTAGTGGATGAGTTTGGGAATGTGTGTAAAGGTAGAAAGTTGAAAGTGAACATAGAAAAGAGTAAGGTGATGAGGGTATCAAATGATTTAGATAAAGAAAAATTGGATATCAGATTGGGGAGGAGGAATATGGAAGAAGTGAATGTTTTCAGATACTTGGGGGTTGACGTGTCGGCGGATGGATTTATGAAGGATGAGGTTAATCATAGAATTGATGAAGGAAAAAAAGTGAGTGGTGCGTTGAGGTATATGTGGAGTCAAAAAACGTTATTATGGAGGCAAAGAAGGGAATGTATGAAAGTATAGTAGTACCAACACTCTTATATGGATGTGAAGCTTGGGTGGTAAATGCAACAGTGAGGAGACGGTTGGAGGCAGTGGAGATGTCCTGTCTAAGGGCAATGTGTGGTGTAAATATTATGCAGAAAATTCGGAGTGTGGAAATTAGGAAAAGGTGTGGAGTTAATAAAAGTATTAGAGGGCAGAAGAGGGGTTGTTGAGGTGATTTGGTCATTTAGAGAGAATGGATCAAAGTAGAATGACATGGAAAGCATATAAATCTATAGGGGAAGGAAGGAGGGGTAGGGGTCGTCCTCGAAAGGGTTGGAGAGAGGGGGTAAAGGAGGTTTTGTGGGCAAGGGGCTTGGACTTCCAGCAAGCGTGCGTGAGCGTGTTAGATAGGAGTGAATGGAGACGAATGGTACTTGGGACCTGACGATCTGTTGGAGTAATATTTAGTGAAGGGATTCAGGGAAACCGGTTATTTTCATATAGTCGGACTTGAGTCCTGGAAATGGGAAGTACAATGCCTGCACTTTAAAGGAGGGGTTTGGGATATTGGCAGTTTGGAGGGATATGTTGTGTATCTTTATACGTATATGCTTCTAAACTGTTGTATTTTGAACATCTCTGCAAAAACAGTGATAATTTGTGAGTGTGATGAAAGTGTTGAATGATGATGAAAGTATTTTCTTTTTGGGGATTTTCTTTCTTTTTTGGGTCACCCTGCCTCGGTGGGAGATGTCCGACTTGTTGAGAAAAAAAAAAAAAAAAATACTATACAATAAAAAAAAAAATCCAATGAACAAAAAACACATTAATTCCACTGATTCATTAACATGCAACAACCCTAATCGTCATTCACAGTATGGGCACTGTAATTCCCACCTCCAGTACTCTGGTCTTGCTAACAAGTTTTCCTGAATTGTTTTTATAATTATCTTGTTCACAATAAAACAGCAGAGTCAAATCCTAAAAAAGAAAAAAAATGTGTACCACACATGCCTGCTGGATGCTTAAGCACATTTGTCTGAACTTTTTGGACCCCAATGGAAATAAGTCACTTTGACTTTTTTTTGTTTTATCCTAGGTAATTTACACTATGTGTGATAATTACACTAATGTGTACCTGTATGTAAATATAACTTTGATGAATTCGAAGGGTTTTTATACTCCTGAAGCCCAGCAATGGGACAGGCTTGTCTGGTGTTTGCTTGGTCAACCAGGCTGCTGCTGCTGGTGGCCTGCTGCCCCACTCGGTGGGCCTGGTGGCCTGGTGGCTAAAGCTCCCGCTTCACACACGGAGGGCCCGGGTTCGATTCCCGGCGGGTGGAAACATTTCGACACGTTTCCTTACACCTGTTGTCCTGTTCACCTAGCAGCAAATAGGTACCTGGGTGTTAGTCGACTGGTGTGGGTCGCATCCTGGGGGACAAGATTAAGGACCCCAGTGGAAATAAGTTAGACAGTCCTCGATGACGCACTGACTTTCTTGGGTTATCCTGGGTGGCTAACCCTCTGGGGATTAAAAATCCGAACGAAATCTTATCTTATCTTATCTTATCTTACCTATACCTAAATAAACTTACTTAAGTCCTCCTTACCTTCCTGGGATATCCTCTACACTTCTTGCATCCACCAAAGATTTAAACACCCTTCTGATAAACATCTTTTGCCATACTTTCTAAATAACCAACACTAGTTTCTGTACAAGGGAACTGCTGATGGGAAAGCAGGCCATTATTACCTGGAGTTTACCTGGAGAGAGTTCCAGGGGTCAATGTCCCCGCGGCCCGGTCTGTGACCAGGCCTCCTGGTGGATCAGAGCCTGATCAACCAGGCTGTTACTGCTGGCTGCACGCAAACCAACGTACGAGCCACAGCCTGGCTGGTCAGGAACCGACTTTAGGTGCTTGTCCAGTGCCAGCTTGAAGACTGCCAGGGGTCTGTTGGTAATCCCCCTTATGTATGCTGGGAGGCAGTTGAACAGTCTCGGGCCCCTGACACTTACTGTATGGTCTCTTAACGTGCTAGTGACACCCTGCTTTTCATTGGGGGGATGTTGCATCGTCTGCCAAATCTTTTGCTTTCATAGTGAGTGATTTTCGTGTGCAAGTTCGGTACTAGTCCCTCTAGGATTTTCCAGGTGTATATAATCATGTATCTCTCCCGCCTGCGTTCCAGGGAATACAGGTTTAGGAACCTCAAGCGCTCCCAGTAATTGAGGTGTTTTATCTCCGTTATGCGCGCTGTGAAGGTTCTCTGTACATTTTCTAGGTCAGCAATTTCACCTGCCTTGAAAGGTGCTGTTAGTATGCAGCAATATTCCAGCCTAGATAGAACAAGTGACCTGAAGAGTGTCATCATGGGCTTGGCCTCCCTAGTTTTGAAGGTTCTCATTATCCATCCTGTCATTTTTCTAGCAGATGCGATTGATACAATGTTATGGTCCTTGAAGGTGAGATCCTCCGACATGATCACTCCCAGGTCTTTGACGTTGGTGTTTCGCTCTATTTTGTGGCCAGAATTTGTTTTGTACTCTGATGAAGATTTAATTTCCTCGTGTTTACCATATCTGAGTAATTGAAATTTCTCATCGCTGAACTTCATATTGTTTTCCGCAGCCCACTGAAAGATTTGGTTGATGTCCGCCTGGAGCCTTGCAGTGTCTGCAATGGAAGACACTGTCATGCAGATTCAGGTGTCATCTGCAAAGGAAGACACGGTGCTGTGGCTGACATCCTTGTCTATGTCAGATATGAGGATGAGGAACAAGATGGGAGCGAGTACTGTGCCTTGTGGAACAGAGCTTTTCACCGTAGCTGCCTCGGACTTTACTCTGTTGACTACTCTCTGTGTTCTGTTAGTGAGGAAATTATAGATCCATCGACCGACTTTTCCTGTTATTCCTTTAGCACGCATTTTGTGCGCTATTACGCCATGGTCACACTTAGTTGAGTAAACTTTAATTCTCTAAATATCAAAGAAATACAATATCCTGTTCAATGAAATTGATTAAAATTAAAACAGATTTAATTTGTCTACATATTATACAGTATATGGAAGTAACAAGTATACTTACTTAATTTTCGCCTGTTGATGACATTTCTTAGATGACTGAATACAATAATGGTGAGTGCAATGACACATATGCTAATGACAATGACAATGGCAAGGAAAAAAGTTGTTTGCCAGTCTGCAGTGTGTGGCTCATGCGAGTCTCTAGTTTCGTCCTTATCACTATTAGCACCATGACTCGCATCCTCTTCAACTGACACTTTTCCATTACCACTACTTTCTCTGGTTACATTAACTGACTCACTGATACTCCTGTTCTCATTCACTGATTCACTAGCACCACTTTTCTGACTAACATAAACACCACTCATCACTGATTCATCTCTGTCCACTATAAGAGATTTATTTTGTGCTCTAAAGCCTGTACGTTCTCCACTATGTCTATGGCGATGATGGTGTCTTGACTCTACGTTTCTAGTCTTTTCCGAATCATTTTCATTGTGTAGTTTTCTGTGGTTCTTTTTATTATGAATACTTTTATGGAATGGTGCCTTATTTGCACCTGACTTCCCTTGCTGATGACCAGAGACTTTTCTGTGGTTCTTTGACTGCTTGTTTTTATCACTGGAAAATTCTGAAGTTTGTTTCCCATGTCCATTGTCTTCTTCTGTTTGGTTTTGTATGGCGGTGGGTGTAGAGAGGGTGATGGGGGCTTGGGGTTGAGTGAGCCGTGACCAGGTGGGAAGGAACTGAGCAGCGGGTGCACACACAGCATCCCGGTACACATAACATGGAACCACCACTACCAGGGAACCATTGCAACGTGTACATGGTACACAATGACCCTGTTCACTGTTGTAAAACTCCTGGCCCTGCTGACAGGACAGTCCTCCATGTACCATGTACACTGTCCAAGCAGCATACACTGTCCACACCAGCAACCACCACCCTCTTCCTACCATCTGTAAAATATATTTGAAATTAGATTTAATCTTAGTGAAAAAAAATATATACTGTATTTCATAAATCTTCAGTCATCTATAAAATTCTGAGTATTATGATTTCAAATAAATAAAGATTTGTTGAATGAAGATAATTTTGCATTTTTATACTGTACTGAAGATCAAGAAAGTTATGTACTACATTGCATAGTAACTGAAGACATCTCACTGTAGATATGGACACAGTATTATGTAAACTGAAGTCAAAGCTGTTAAATACTGTATACTCCCAAGTATTTATTCATTGAATGTCCTAGATTTGGGAATTATAATTTTTTTTATAAACACTACAGTATATAATTGCATTGACTATATGCAACCTGTAATTATTCAATTTAAATACAATTATTCTCAAATGAACAGAAATTGTCTCCATTTACAGTATGACTTAACACATAAATAAAGAAGGAACAAATTAACAAACATCTACAATGCACTGCTGAAAGCTTTAAATAATAATGTATCTCAGTGGCAGGTCCAGGGTTCAATCAAGGGGAGAGCAAGACATACTGCTAAGTCCCTGTTCACCTAGCAATAAATAGATACTGTACCTGGAAATGAGTAGTGTGTTGTGAATCACAGCCTGGAAAAGGCTCTGACCCCCAATGGAAATAAGCCAAACTGCTTAACTTTCTAGGGTTATCCCAGATTATAATCCCTATAAAGTCATTTTCTACTCAATGGCAGCAATCTCATCAACATTACCAAGTTGTTGATCACTCAGGGGTAGTCTCTGATATTTTCCTACTGGTGACCCCTTAAGGAATGTTCTTTGAAGCCAGTGAGGGGCTTTTGCTCCAAGGAAACAGATATGTGCTTCCCTTCCTTGTATCTAACCTGAATGCCTCTCATTCCCCAAAGATGCGGTATGACCCTTCTGGGTTTAGCACCCCCACCCATGAATAATAATAAAAATTCCTACTGGTGGAAAGTTCTTCCACATATAAATTTAGCAATATTATCAGCAACCATTAACCTCAAATGGCCTAACTTAAACCTAAATTACATTGTTGGATAATGTGTGGTTATATATCAACATGTCACAAAAAACTGCCACCTAGATAACTCATTGAAGTGATTTGAAATGTCAGTAACCAAAGGATGCCCTCCTACTGACATTTCCCACTGAAGGCCATTACTTACAGTACTATTATAAATAACAAAACATACAAACGAAAATTATTCACCTGTATAACAAAATAGTTCTAGTTAAAATTGAAAGTGTTATTAGAAGCTTTATATTATTTATGAATGCTAAAATGAAATGTAGAAGCAAATTGTTTTATTATATTTTTTCAGATGTTTAAACAATTGATTGGCATTTATTCAGGCTAAATTCATTCTACAAATGTTTATATTACACAGTACTGTATATACATTATATAATGGTTGTGCAACGTACACATACTAGGCATGCAATTTTGACAACTTATGATTTAACTTGGGATAATCCAATAGCCAACAGGATGACATATTTCTACTGTTTTTTTAAATAAGCTGCTTGTTACCTTGTAATATTAAACTGAAGTTTGATATATATACCAAGCAACAACCTGAAAAATTAACCAGATATGCAAGTTAAAATTCTTGGAGATAGTCTAAAAATTTTGTGATTATTGGGATTATGAAAATCAATATATTTACTCAATTTTTACAGCATAGTCATAATGCATTGGTGCAAAGGATCCCAATGGAAATAAGTCAAGGACCCCAATGGAAATAAGTCAAGGACTCCAATGGAAATAAGTCAAGGACTCAAATGGAAATAAGTCAAGGACCCAGTGGAAATAAGTCACTTTGACTTTTTTGGATTATCCTAGGTAATTTACACTATGTATGATAATTGTACTTATGTGTACCTGTACCTATACAAACTTACATACTTATTTACTTACTTACAAGCCAAAAATTAGTATGCATTTCACATTTGTGCGAGAGTGACAGTACCATGTCTGACGCCCTTCCCTCACCCTTCCACTGCCTGATGTTCCTACACCTGACTAATTTATCCATTACATTGTCCAGCTGAACACATCAGCACGTACATTTCACGTGTCTGAATTATGCATTTCTTCATGTCTAAACCACCTGTTACCTGGGTCAGACCTGCACCTGGCGAGCATAACCACTCCTATTGTCATTCTTAATTCTCCACAAACCTCCCTTTTATTACTCAAGATAAAATTTTAGCATTGCACTTAAATCCCTTACCTTCGTCCTGATACTTAGTATTGTCCAATTTTAAGCCATCTTATCGGTAAATTCATCTTGTCAAATAGGCATTCACAACACACAAACATAAGACATCTTGTATAATTACATTGAGACTCGTTGTAAGCTCCATGCCCCATACCCAGCCCTAGCCACCCACTGACTGGCTAGCCTGGGAGCCTCACTATAATTTCATTCATTAGGTGTACAAGTAGTGACGTCACAGCTGAGGCGACCAATGACAGGGCTGTCTCGTACTACCTCCTCAGGATATGTACTACCTCGTCAGGATAAGTTGAGAGTACTACGTCATCATAAGTACTACCTCAGGATATGTACTACTTTGTCAGGATAAGTAGAGAGTACTACCTTGTCAGGACAAGCACTACTTCGTCAGGATAAGTACCACCTTGTCAGGATAAGTACTACCTCGTCAGGATAAGTACTTCCTCAGGATGAGAGTACTGCCTTGTTAGGGCAAGTACTACCTCTTCAGGACAAGTACTACCTCGCCAGGATAAATATTACCTCATCAGGATAAGTAGAGAGTAGCACCTCGTCAGGACAAGTACTACCTCGTCAGGATAAGTACTACCTCGTCAGGATAAGTACTACCTCCTCAGGGTAAACACTACCTCGTTACAACAAGTACTACCCCTACCAGGATAAGTGCACATAGGTACAGAAAATTCTAATCACAAAACATACACACGTATATATACTATACATGTATTTATATTTTGGCGCATTGAAATTTTATGACTACCCAACAATATTCATTTTGCGTGCACTGAGGTAAATGAGGCTGGGTTTGTCAGTAAATTTATTCAAGTATACACAAATACAGTTTATAGATTATGTGATTTATCATACATAGCAGCATGCGTGTAGAGAACCTGGGATAACCCAAAAAAGTCAAAATGACTTATTTCCATTGGAGTCCTTGTGGAATACAAAGATACCTTTCTCGGATCAGGCAGCGACCAAAATGCATCTAGTTATTATATTATTCCGGGAAACTGAGACTAGAGAGATGGGATGCAGCTCTTGGGAATTGGAAGTAATTAGGTTCGATCCAAATTAGAGAATGGTAAAACCAGTTTCTTAAGTCAAGAGCCCTTCACAAATCAAGGCTGTCCCTCACAGCGGTCTTGATACTAGATATTTATATATGATCACAATTTTTCAATCTTTTCTATCAATACTTTATGCTAGACTCAAAAAGTGAAACAGCATACATCCATACATTTTATTTTAGTGTTAGTAGTTTTCACTCTAGTTCATATCTACCCTAAATTATATGCATTATTATTCATAGGGGAGCGCTAAACTACCAGGGGTCATACAGCATATGGGGAAATGAATATTGTGGAGTTTTCGTAAAAATTAAATCACGAACCCTTTTTTTTTAAATCATCTTTAATTTACAAATATGGGCTCACCCTCCTGGCCGGCGGAACTAATGACGCCCAGAAAAATATCACTGTTTTTATTCGGAAGATCTCAACCCTTATGGGTCGCACATTATCATTATTATTATTATAAAGTTAAGAGCTAAACCCGAAAGAATCATATAACGATTAAGTAGTATGGGTGTGGGGTAATCAAGAGAAAAACTGGTCCAATACCGCACCATCATGTTAAATTAACATGCCCACACTAAACATTAATACTGTTTTGCAGTTGAAAAGGAGCAGAATAAGTGTCACTGAGAAACATACGAAATGACAAAAAAAATCAATACTTTGTTGACCCATTTGTTATCGGCACATACGTCTATAAACTAAATATATGGTGATTATAGTACACTAATTTGAATAGAATGCCATATTATTTTTTTATTAACACATCGACTGTGTCCCACCAAGGTACGGTGACCCTTTTATTTTTAGCAATTTATACAGAAGGGGTTACTAGCCCATTGCTCCCGGCATTTTAGTCGCTTCTTACGACACGCATAGCTTACGGAGGAAGAATTCTGTTCCACTTCCCCATGGAGATGAAAGGAAATAAAAAGAACAAAACCTATTTAGAAAAATAAGAGAAAATTCATATATATATACACACACACTTCTACATGTACATGTAATATGCCTAAGTGTAAGGTGAAGTAGCAAGACGTGCCTTTTTTTTTTTTGCGTGTTTGAGACAAAAAGAAAGACGCCAGTATTCCTACCAGTGCAAAACAATTACAGGTTTCAGTTTCACACGCGTTTGGCAGGACGATAGTACCTCCCTGAGTGATTGCTGTCTACCAACCTACTACCATTTCCCATATTATGTTGAAGATATTTTTATAGAAGCACATGCATCCGTATATTTAACTGATTAATTTTGTCACTTATTTGCCTTTATAAAACAAGCTTCATAAATGTATTAGTGTCTTCATATTAAATTTCTGCCTTACGTTCCCTTCTAATTGTATTTCCAAATCTGTGAAATCCATCTAAAGCACAAAATTGCAAGCAATATTACGCCTTAGTTTAATGTTTATGAGTAATTGCAAAGTGCTAGCCACAAACATCCGGGTGTTTCTCATTACTGCACTGGTTTGCCACTGAGAGCTGGACTCAACGCAGTCATATCAGGATCTGCTCTGCCCTCAGGTATTGTGGTCCAGCCTCGCCCACCAATCGTACTCATCATCGTACTGTACCTTTTTCTTCTTAATGTGGAAGAATCTTCTTTTGGTGATAAATGAAAACACTGATATATATTAAATGTTTATTTCCTTATAAGTTATAGTCCGCGAGTTACATAAAGCAGTTAAGCAAAAGAGCATAAGATATCGAGTTAAAAATAATTTTTACCGAAAGAAAATAAATCAAAATTTATCGTTATGCCTTACATCGGCATCTGAGTAAGGAATTGTAAATGACATTAAATATTTCTATTCTGAATTATTCACACAAACTATGAAAATAATGGTATGCATAGTTAATGCAAGCAACTACGATACAAAACACTTCATTATAGTGAGGCAATGAGTTGTCTAAAACATTTATATCACTTTTATGCATGTCTGCCTGTGATGCATATATAAAAAAATAATTACAGAAGTCCATATACATCACATTAATCAACAGGAAAATATAATGCTTGAAATTAAAATTATAAAATTATATTTACCACTTGCTGCCTTCGCATAGGGTGTGTTTTGTACTTTAATGTAATTTTCGGTTTCCAAAATGGACAGAAATTCATGTGTTTTCCCTATTCTTTTGCATCTGCAATTCCTCCTGCAGTGATAGCAAATGTGGCTTCATTTTCGGGTAGTTCTGGACTGTCATATATCTTGGCAATGCGAGTTTCCCCGCGGCCTTTGCGTAACGATACGCGTGTTGTGGAAGCGTGAGCCAAGATATGGCCACCAATAGGTTTCTTGGGGTCAGCTTGGAAAGACATGGTGGCACCTGGGTCAGCAGTCATTTGGTTTGTAATGAATACAGATACGTTGTATTCTTCGCTTATTTTCTGCAGCCGTGATAGATACTGTGCAAGCTTTTGCTGTCTATCAGCAAGCTCGCCACGTCCACTGAAATCCACTCTAAACAGTGCCATAATCGAGTCGATAATTAATAACTTGAATATTCCTGGCTCTTCATGGAACTGCGCTGCCACATGGTCAAGAATGTCAAACTGATGCTCAGATGTGAAAGCTCGAGTATAAAGCACATTATCAAGCACTGCTTCCTGTTCCAGGTTGAAGCGATCAGCAATGGCACGAAGGCGGTCCGGCCGAAAAGTATTTTCCGTGTCAATGAAGATTACCTAAAACAATGAAAAAGTAAACATTTTTAAAATAAATAATGCTAATATATAACTTGTATGTAACAATAGCTATGGAAGCTGTCAAATACAAAATTTTGTCTCATTACTCTCAATTCATGATAGTGCGGAAATATGCGAAATGATAAATATTAATTAAGCTTTATGTCCTGCCTTCTGCATAGGCGGACCTTTAAGATATTCGTTTTAACCTACTACCCCTCATGGAAGGTTCCTTGATGTTTGTGAGGGGCTCTTGATTTAGGGAATTGGATCTGTGCTCCAGTTCCCCGAATTAAGCCTGAATGCCTTCCACATCCCCCCTCCCCTGGGCGCTGTATAATCCTACGGGTTTAGCGCTTCCCCTTGATTATAATAATAATTAACCTACTACCCAACCCCTACTCCACCGCAACAACCACGCCACAGCACGGGTCAAGCAGTAGTGAACCTTGTTTACGTCAATTTGGCGTCGCCTAGTTCACCGATGCATTGCCCAACGACGACATGAACTGCATGGAGCATGAGCGACGACTAACAAAGGGGCTTTTGACATGTACACCCAACTATTATACTCCTTTGTACAACCATTATCATTTCTTTTTTTAACAAGTCGGCCGTCTCCCACCGAAGCAGGGTGACCCAAAAAAGAAAGAAAATCCCCAAAAAGAAAATACTTTCATCATCATTCAACATTTTCACCTCATTCACACATAATCACTGTTTTTGCAGAGGTGCTCAGAATACAACAGTTTAGAAGCATATACGTATAAAGATACACAACATATCCCTCCAAACTGCCAATATCATGTATCATGTCAAAATAAAAATTATTATTATTAGAATCTCAACAAGATGTTCCACAACTGAGTTTAGCCCCGGTTCTTTCCCTTTCTCTCCCTCTACTTATTCCCCCCCCCCTCCCACTCCCTGAACACGAGTGACGGAACGCTTGAGACCCTGTACTATTATCACGGGTTTAGCGCTCCCCTATGATTATAATAATAATATATCTTTACTTACTACAAGTACATGTATATGGTATACAGACCTAGCTGACATCAATGACATACTACTATATAGGAAGCCCCTTGCTATGCTCAGCATTTCGGGCAATTTAGCTGTATAGCCCTTGTGGCTTAGCGCTTCTTTTTGATTATAATAATAATAATTCGGGCAATTTAGGTCAGTGTCCCAGGATGCGACCCACACCAGTCGACTGTAACACCCAGGTACCCATTTTACTGATGGGGAACATAGACAACAGGTGTAAAGAAACACGCCCAATGTTTCTACTATTATCGCCTCATGCCACAAGGAGTTAAAATATATGTATATTTCTTTTTGATAGGTTTGAATGTGAGAAGCACCAAGTATTACTAAAACACTTTTTACAGATCCCGGCTTGGTGAGGGGCTTTTGATTTAGGAAATTGGATCTGTGCTCCAGTTCCCCGAATTAAGCCTGAATGCCTTCCACATCCCCCCCCCCCAGGCGCTGTATAATCCTCGGGTTTAGCGCTTCCCCTTGATTATAATAATACAGATCCCGGCGTCAACTTGAATTCTGTTAATGTTAGCTCATTCACCCTACATTCTTAGTTGATACAATCTGAAATTTCACAACAGTGCAAATGAAATAAGATGCAAAAGAAGAAATACAGGGAACATTAACTTCTGCCTGGCTATTCACATGGAGTTGATCCAGTGAATGTACTTGGTGATCGCCAGTTATGGTTGTCATCCACCCCGCCCCCGTTATCCAAGATTTACAGCACTGCTAAAATATGTTTGCAATTACAAATGTAAGGTATCAGCATTTAAAGCTGGAGATAAAATCCGGTAAAAAAAAGAGGTAGATAAACACTTTAAAGCGTCTTACAATTTAATGCAAAACATTTGTTTGATGTTTTCGTTTCCAGCGAATCGCTACCAGGGTTTAAGCTTTCTTTTTTGCATGCCCCTTTTCTTTTCACTCCCGTGACATTTTTTTCTATCGTGCAATCAATATTGAATAAATTAAAGAAACAATAGTTTTAAATACATTGCTTAAAACTATAAAATCGATCATTAATGGGTCAGATGAAAAAGTCCATTAGTATCAAGCTAATATTAACAATAGCAAAATGGTATAAAACTGTCAACTGACTACATAATTTTTTTGTGTATTTTATTTAATACTGTATATAAAAAACACGCATACAACATTCGCTATATATAAACATTAAAAGATAATGATTACATATTATACTTTATCATAAATTTTGGGATGGAAGACCCACGCAAACACGTGAGATTAGCTAAAATTTGAAAAATAATTATTAAACTCTTGAATTCGCTTTAAGGAAAAAACTGCTAGAAAAGTCAATATTTTAACAAGGCTGTGCAAAAAATCAACCATTAGCCCTGAAAACATAGTTATTTGGAAATTTTACTATAATAGCCTTGCAGTCTTGATGCCTGGAATTTCAGCTAATTCACACGCTAAAATATAAATGCACGATAACAAGTAAAAATTAGTGATATTCCCAGCGCTTTCGTGACTTCTTGCATTATTATTTAATTTTCATTGTGGTTACATTGCATATTACGATATCACCTGTTTCCTGCGATATTATAGCAAAATAATGATTATTGCTTGCGAGTACCCTCCCCCCCCCTTTCCACGTTATTTAGACAACTTATATATATATATATATATATATATATATATATATATATTATATATATATATAATATATATATATATATTATATATTTTCAACAAGTCGGGCCGTCTCCCACCGAGGCAGGGTGACCCAAAAAGAAAGAAAATCCCCAAAAAGAAAATACTTTCATCATCATTCAACACTTTCACCACACTCACACATATCACTGCTTTTGCAGAGGTGCTCAGAATACAACAGCTTAGAAGCATATACGTATAAAGATACACAACATATCCCTCCAAACTGCCAATATCCCAAACCCTCCTTTAAAGTGCAGGCATTGTACTTCCCATTCCAGGACTCAAGTCCGACTATATGAACATAACCGGTTTCCCTGAATCCCTTCACTAAATATTACCCTGCTCACACTCCAACAGATCGTCGGTCCCAAGTATCATTCGCCTCCATTCACTCCTATCTAACACGCTCATGCACGCTTGCTGGAAATCCAAGCCCTAGCCCACAAAACCTCCTTTAACCCCCTCTTTCCAACCCTTTCGAGGACGACCCCTACCCCTCCTTCCTTCCCCTATAGATTTTATGCTTTCCATGTCATTCTACTTTGATCCATTCTCTCTAAATGACCAAACCACCTCAACAACCCCTCTTCTGCCCTCTGACTAATGCTTTTATTAACTCCACACCTCCTAATTTCCACACTCCGAATTTCTGCATAATATTTACACCACACATTGCCCTTAGACAGGACATCCTCCACTGCCTCCAACCGTCTCCTCGCTGCTGCATTTACCACCCAAGCTTCACATCCATATAAGAGTGTTGGTACTACTATACTTTCATACATTCCCTTCTTTGCCTCCATAGATAACGTTTTTTGACTCCACATATACCTCAACGCACCACTCACCTTTTTTCCCTCATCAATTCTATGATTAACCTCATCCTTCATAAATCCATCCGCCGACACGTCAACTCCCAAGTATCTGAAAACATTCACTTCTTCCATACTCCTCCTCCCCAATTTGATATCCAATTTTTCTTTATCTAAATCATTTGATACCCTCATCACCTTACTCTTTTCTATGTTCACTTTCAACTTTCTACTTTTACAACACATTCTCAAACTCATCCACTAACCTTTGCAATTTTTCTTTAGAATCTCCCATAAGCACAGTATCATCAGCAAAAAGTAACTGTGTCAATTCCCATTTTGAATTTGATTCCCCATAATTTAATCCCACCCCTCTCCCAAACACCCTAGCATTTACTTCTTTTACAACCCCATCTATAAATATATTAAACAACCATGGTGACATTACACATCCCTGTCTAAGACCTACTTTTACCGGGAAGTATTCTTCCTCTCTTCTACACACCCTAACCTGAGCCTCACTATCCTCATAAAAGCTCTTTACAGCATTTAGTAACTTACCACCTATTCCATATACTTGCAACATCTGCCACATTGCTCCTCTATCCACTCTAATCATATACCTTTTCTAAATCCATAAATGCAATAAAAACTTCCCTACCTTTATCTAAATACTGTTCACATATATGCTTCAATGTAAACACTTGATCTACACATCCCCTACCCACTCTGAAGCCTCCCTTCTCATCCGCAATCCTACATTCTGTCTTACCTCTAATTCTTTCAATTATAACCCTACCGTATACTTTTCCTGGTATACTCAGTAAACTTATTCCTCTATAATTTTTACAATCTCTTTTGTCCCCTTTCCCTTTATATAAAGGGACTATACATGCTCTCCGCCAATCCCTAGGTACCTTCCCCTCTTTCATACATTTATTAAACAAAAGTACCAACCACTCCAACACTATATCCCCCCCTGCTTTTAACATTTCTGTCATGATCTCATCAGTTCCAGCTGCTTTACCCCCTTTCATTCTACGTAATGCCTCACGTACCTCCACCACACTTACATTCTGCTCTTCTTCACTCCTAAAAGATGGTATACCTCCCTGGCCAGTGCATGAAATTACCGCCTCCCTTTCTTCCTCAACATTTAAAAGTTCCTCAAAATATTCTCGCCATCTACCTAATACCTCCCTCTCCCCATCTACTAACTCCCCTACTCTGTTTTTAACTGACAAATCCATACTTTCCCTAGGCTTTCTTAACTTGTTTAACTCACTCCAAATTTTTTTCTTATTTTCATTAAAATTTCTTGACAGTGCCTCTCCCACTCTTTCATCTGCTCTCCTTTTGCACTCTCTCACCACTCTCTTCACCTTTCTTTTACTCTCCATATACTCTGCTCTTCTTATAACACTTCTGCTTTGTAAAAACCTCTCGTAAGCTACCTTTTTCTCTTTTATCACACCCTTTACTTCATCATTCCACCAATCACTCCTCTTTCCTCCTGCCCCCACCCTCCTATAACCACAAACTTCTGCCCCACATTCTAATACTGCATTTTTAAAACTTTTCCAATCCTCTTCAACCCCCCCACTACTCATCTTTGCACTAGCCCACCTTTCTGCCAATAGTCGCTTATATCTCGCCCGAACTTCCTCCTCCCTTAGTTTATACACTTTCACCTCCCTCTTACTTGTTGTTGCCACCTTCCTCTTTTCCCATCTACCTCTTACTATAACTGTAGCTACAACTAAATAATGATCCGATATATCAGTTGCCCCTCTATAAACATGTACATCCTGGAGCCTACCCATCAACCTTTTATCCACCAATACATAATCTAACAAACTACTTTCATTACGTGCTACATCATACCTTGTATATTTATTTATCTTCTTTTTCATAAAATATGTATTACTTATTACCAAATTTCTTTCTACACATAGCTCAATTAAAGGCTCCCCATTTACATTTACCCCTGGCATCCCCAAATTTACCTACTTCTAGCTCTATAACATTTTTACCCACTTTAGCATTGAAATCCCCAACCACCATTACTCTCACACTTGATTCAAAACTCCCCACGCATTCACTCAACATTTCCCAGAATCTCTCTCTCTCCTCTACACTTCTCTCTTCTCCAGGTGCATACACGCTATTATAACCCACTTTTCACATCCAATCTTTATTTTACTCCACATAATCCTTGAATTTATACATTTTGTAGTCCCTCTTTTCCTGCCATAGCTTATCCTTCAACATTATTGCTACTCCTTCTTTAGCTCTAACTCTATTTGAAACCCCTGACCTAATCCCATTTATTCCTCTCCATTGAAACTCTCCCACCCCTTCAGCTTTGTTTCACTTAAAGCCAGGACATCCAGTTTCTTCTCATTCATAACATCCACAATCATCTCTTTCTTATCATTTGCACAACATCCACGCACATTCAGGCTTCCCACTTTGACAATTTTCTTCTTCTTATTCTTTTTAGTAATCTTTACAGGAAAAGGGGTTACTAGCCCATTGTTCCCGGCATTTTAGTTGACTTTTACAACACGCATGGCTTACGGAGGAAAGATTCTTATTCCACTTCCCCATGGATATAAAAGGAAAAGTAATATGACCAAGAACTATTAAGATAAAATCAAAGAAAACTCAGATGAGTGTGTATAAATAAACGTGTGCATGTATGTGAAGTGTGACCTAAGTGTAAGTAGAAGTAGCAAGACGTGCCTGTAATCTTGCATATTTATGAGACAGACAAAAGACACCAGCAATCCTACCATCATGTAAAACAATTACAGGCTTTCGTTTACACTCACTTGGCAGGACGGTAGTACCTCCCTGGGTGGTTGCTGTCTACCAACCTACTACCATTTATATATAATATATATATATATAATATATATATATATATATATATATATATATATATATATATATATATATATATATATAAACAAAAAAATTATATATATTACCTGAGTTTACCTGGAGAGAGTTCCGGGGGTCAACGTCCCCGCGGCCCGGTCTGTGACCAGGCCTCCTGGTGGATCAGAGCCTGATCAACCAGGCTGTTGCTGCTGGCTGCACGCAAACCAACGTACGATATATTTTTTTAACAAAAAAAATTATATATATATATATATATATATATATATATATATATATATATATATATATATATATAATTATATAATTAATATATAACGTATCCTACGTAAGGAAATAATGATAACCTAATTCTGATTTTTTATAAGTAGTCCACAAATTGGAAATTAAAATTCAACATTTCGGTCCTTCCTGACCTATTTTCATTTCCAGATTGGTTAGTTGTGAATTGTAATATTCATCAGGACAGTCCTGACCTTCAGTCATGTTATGGTAACTAAATTTACTGATGACCTACCTTTCCTCCAGTATAAGTGCCATCATCGTTGGGAATCTGTGCGGTGACACAAAGGGTGTGCGAGAGCTGGGTCTTGCCAGTGCGAAACTCTCCAAATACTTCAGTGATGGCCATGCTCTCTATGCCGCCCCCTAACAGCGAGTCTAGTTCTGCTGATCCTGTGCTCACACGAAAGACAAGTCGCCGACGTTCACACATCACTAAAGCTGTTACGAATCCTTCTCCACCATTCAGTTTAGCCGCTACCTGAAATATAAGGTATATTTCAGCACGCTGAACGGGTCGTTTTATGATCAAGACTCGTGCTAAGATATTTTCTTGACAAATAAACCACTACAGTTACAAGAGTTGTAGATGAGTGGTGCAAACTCCAGGTAGCGTGTTTGGGGCGAGAGTTTTAGGGCTCGCTTGCCATGGGTTTAATCCCCACCCGTTCCGTGGTTTCTATATATATTGGGTGGGTACATGAGTTAGTTTAATACTTTATGAATAAATGTGGTTAGGTATGAGCTAAACCTGTCAAGCATGGGCCATTAGGCCTACTGCAGTGTTTATTCATTATGTTCTTACTGGTTTCCGTGTGATTATGCTATATAGTGTAAAAAAAATCTCTGCCTACTCTTCCTTTTGAAAAAAAAAAGTGTCACGGAGACTAGTGCAAATAAAATACGGTGGGGTAAGTGTATCTATAGGATGAAGTGTGGCGAGGGTGTAACTCCCAGTTCAGTTGGCAAGGTTTTCAGCTTGCAGTTCTTGAGCTCACCTCTTTACTTTAATGTTAGCTGATTTTATCTGGATTTTATTTTAATGCTAGGTGGTTTTTATCTGGATTTATCATATTTCATTGAAAGGGTATCGAGTTGTTGAGAGGGTTTGGCGGTATGTTTAACATTAAGTGACTGTGAACTGGCCTCAGGGAAAAGTCAGTACTAAAGCCAGTTTTGGACAAGTGACGATTGAGTGTGGTAGTGTGCAAATGATATAAAATAATTTAAAATACACATACAGGAAAAATAATAACTGCTATAGTTAAACAGGATGCATCAAATAAAAAAAAAGTCCTAAAGAATGGCATGCAATTTTTAAATACATTTTCCAGACTGTATTTGATATGTGAAAATATTACCTAGAAAAATCGCGCATTTCCAGAAATTTGTCCAGCAAAAATCTGCAGTGGTTGAGAGTAAATTTCCAGTTCCCATAACCTTTGAGAAATCGACGGAATAACCAGTTATAGTCAAACTGTAAAGGTACTGTCTATAACCATCTTGCCAGGATCAATGTGAGTTATACTGTATGACTTAGTGACTTGAAAGGAAGAACAAAAAAAAAATTGAATTACCAGATAAAATAAACCTATATTAAGCATACCTGATTTGGAATATATTTAACTGTCAAAACTCGTGTAGCTAGTAGTGTTTTTTTTTTCATTTTAATTAGGGGAATAATAAATATTCTAGCTAAATTATGAGGTTACAAAGCCTGATTACTAGGCTTTCAGGATATGTTCTAGTTTATAATGGCTTTTTATCACCATTATTTTGAGGTGCCTAGAGATTGAAGAGGTGAATTGATATGGGTGAAGAGGTGGTTACCCTAATGTTGGTGAAAAGGATATGCCTTGATGCTAGTGGAGCCCTGAATCCGGAGGGATCTTGATCAACGTAATTGGAGCTTACCTCCCCTTTAGGTTTAGCGCTTTGTCATATAGTAAATAATAATTATACTCGCATTTTGTCGTGTACAAATATATTACTATATAATTAAATTGCATTTAGCTTTGAATCTACATAATACTGCAATGATGAGACATCATTATTCAAAGTCATAGGCTCATCGACAAAGTTCTGATAGAAGTATACTGCATATAACTTTATTTAGGTATAGTTTTACTCAGTTTTGGATGATTACAATTGTGTTACACAGTAACGTGTACTGTGGGTAGCATCCTGGGGGACAAGACTGAAATAAGACAGTCCTCGATGACGCAATGACTTTCTTGGGTTATCCTAAATGGCTAACCCTCCCTTCCCCGGGTTACCCTGGATGGCTTACTTTCCCTACCCCGGGTTACCCTAGATGGCTTACTCTCCCTACCCTGGGTTACCCTGGATGGCTTACTCTCCCTACCCCGGGTTACCCTGGATGGCTTACTCTCCCTACCCCGGGTTACCCTGGATGGCTTACTCTCCCTACCCTGGGTTACCCTGGATGGCTTATTCTCCCTACTCTGGGTTACCCTAGATGGCTTACTCTCCCTACTCTGGGTTACCCTGGATGGCTTACTTTCCCTACCCCGGGTTACCCTAGATGGCTTACTCTCCCTACCCTGGGTTACCCTGGATGGCTTACTCTCCCTACCCAGGGTTACCCTGGATGGCTTACTCTCCCTACCCTGGGTTACCCTGGATGGCTTACTCTCCCTACCCCGGGTTACCCTGGATGGCTTACTCTCCCTACCCCGGGTTACCCTGGATGGCTTACTCTCCCTACCCTGGGTTACCCTGGATGGCTTATTCTCCCTACTCTGGGTTACCCTGGATGGCTTACTCTCCCTACCCTGGGTTACCCTGGATGGCTTACTCTCCCTACTCTGGGTTACCCTGGATGGCTTACTCTCCCTACCCTGGGTTACCCTGGATGGCTTACTCTCCCTACCCTGGGTTACCCTGGATGGCCTACTCTCCCTACCCTGGGTTACCCTGGATGGCTTACTCTCCCTACTCTGGGTTACTCTGGACGGCTTACTCTCCCTACCCTGGGTTACACTGGATGGCTTACTCTCCCTACTCTGGGTTACCCTGGATGGCTTACTCTCCCTACCCTGGGTTACCCTGGATGGCTTACTCTCCCTACCCTGGGTTACCCTGGATGGCTTACTCTCCCTACTCTGGGTTACTCTGGACGGCTTACTCTCCCTACCCTGGGTTACCCTGGATGGCTTACTCTCCCTACTCTGGGTTACCCTGGATGGCTTACTCTCCCTACCCTGGGTTACCCTGGATAGCTTACTCTCCCTACCCTGGGTTACCCTGGATGGCATACTCTCCCTACCCGGGTTACCCTGGATAACTTACTCTCCCTACCCTGGGTTAAAAATCCCAACAAATCTTATTGACGTCACCATTAATATCCCAGGGACGAAAAGTTTGACGAAACAGAAGCTCGTTCTCATTTTTCCCAGTTCTCCCTATCATGCACACCTGAATGAGATAGACAACCGTGCATTTTACAATGTTATTTTTGTCTTCATTTTAGCGCTAAACCTGTAGGGGTCATAGCTCCTGGGGAACGGGAGGCATTCAGGTTCGACCCAAGAGGCAGACAGGTCCATTTCATGGATCAAGAGCCTCTCATCAACATTAAGGAACCTCCTTTAAGGGGCATGAGACATTCAAGAGGACATATGATAATTTAACCTAGAATATTCCTACAATTTCCTGGCTTTTATTGCGACTCTATGTTAGTATTCTAACCCACCTCCTTTATTTTATCCACTTTGGCTTCAGAGAGTCCCTTGATGGTGCATAACTTGCGACGAGTTGTCATCTGGATGCCCCGGACAGTACAGATTCCCGCTGATTTCAGCTTCTTGATGTCCGCAGCATTGATCCCGTGAGTCTGCAACTCATCAATGTCCGTGAAGAAGCTGGCATCCTCCTCTATAACCACATCATCTACGTCCAACGCCTGGTCCTCCATTCTGAGACGTACAAGGTGGAATTTCGAGCAATAAATAACAGAGTGAGCACCACCACCACCTCCCTCACTGTCCTCCCTCGCTGCCGCTCATTCATTCGCATTTTTAATATTTTTTTAAAACTAATTCTTAACAACCTTTTATTTTAACTTTCTTGTGCATTATTATCATTATTATATTTCAGAATCATCTAGCAATTAACTTTCACGATTTTATAACGATTTTGTTATTTTTTTTATACTTAATGTCAGTTTTTCCCGCTCAGATGTTGTGGGTAACTTACCTATTTTTTTTATTTTTTTTATTACTAAAAATAGATATACGTATAATATTGTGTAGCTTGATCACACTGAGGGTAGCTTTTTGATCCAAGTAAGTGGACTTATCTTCCTCGTCCTTGGATCGAACCTCACTTCCTCCTATTTCCTCCCTGGCGCTTCATGATCCCTAAGGGTTTAGATCTTCCCACCTGATTATAAGTCCTATTTTGAAATTTAAAGGGTGACTATTTTCCTCAATTTTAATGCGCAGTGTAAAATGTGTATATGTAACACAAGGACGCTTAATGGGGGTCTTTTGCTCTCAGGTACAGGTACACATAAATACAACTATGCATAAATTACTTAGGATAACCCCCCAAAAAGTCAAAGTGACTTATTTCCATTGGGTTCGATCCCGGTATAGGTGCAAACTGGCATGTTTCCTTACACCTAGCAATAAGCAGGTATCTGGGTGTTAGTCTCCTGCTGTAGGTCGCATCCTGGGGGAGGATCAGAGGACCTTAATGGAAATAAGCCACAGTGGCTCACGAAATCGTAACAACACGATTGCAAACAAACCATACCACTGGTGGGAGTTGAACTCGCGGCGCGTGAGTCGTAAAACTCCAAGCCAGCGCGTAAGCCACTAGACCAGCTGGCCAAAACAAGATTATTCCAACTAGGTATATTTAAACACCAACGTCAAAGACCTGGGAGTGATCATGTCGGAGGATCTCGCCTTCAAGGACCATAACATTGTATCAATCGCATCTGCTAGAAAAATGACAGGATGGATAATGAGAACCTTCAAAACTAGGGAGGCCAAGCCCATGATGACACTCTTCAGGTCACTTGTTCTATCTAGGCTGGAATATTGCTGCACACTAACAGCACCTTTCAAGGCAGGTGAAATTGCCGACCTAGAAAATGTACAGAGAACTTTCACGGCGCGCATAACGGAGATAAAACACCTCAATTATTGGGAGCGCTTGAGGTTCCTAAACCTGTATTCCCTGGAACGCAGGAGGGAGAGATACATGATTATATACACCTGGAAAATCCTAGAGGGACTAGTACCGAACTTGCACACGAAAATCACTCACTACGAAAGCAAAAGACTTGGCAGACGATGCACCATCCCCCAATGAAAAGCAGGGGTGTCACTAGCACGTTAAGAGACCATACAATAAGTGTCAGGGGCCCAAGACTGTTCAACTGCCTCCCAGCACACATAAGGGGGATTACCAACAGACCCCTGGCAGTCTTCAAGCTGGCACTGGACAAGCACCTAAAGTCAGTTCCGGATCAGCCGGGCTGTGGCTCGTACGTTGGTTTGCGTGCAGCCAGCAGCAACACCTGGTTGATCAGGCTCTGATCCACCAGTAGGCCTGGTCACAGACCGGGCCGCGGGGGCGTTGACCCCCGGAACTCTCTCCAGGTAAACTCCAGGTAAATAGAGAGGCTAGCACAGGCCCTACTACTGTGACCACAAATACAAGTTTTCACAGATGAATCTCCCACCATAGTAGCTTACGTGCCCGTGATGTGGTTTTTAAGCCATAGTGGATTTAAGAAATGGTATGGTGATACCAACAATATGTACAAGACATGTATAGTTCAGGATAATTATTATAGGAAACGTTTCGACACGAGTGTCTTCTTCAGTTCCAGGAGTGAAGATGCCAAATGACACTTGTGCAACATGTGGGTATCTTTACTCTGGGAACGTTTTGCTAGCCAGTGGTTTCTTCAGTCCAGTGCAGATAAATGTGGAAGATGAGGAGGAATTTGAGGTACTCTGTGGAAAATATTTTAATTTTCCGAAGCTGTAGTGCCTAATAGGTGTTTAATGTGTTGATTTGGGTCAAAAATGTATTTGAAAATGGAATAGAACCAACCGGGTTCCCTCTGCGCCTTCGCGGATGTGCGGGGGAAGAGGCCGAGTCGGGGCATGGAGGAGCGGGAGTGTTTTGAATGGACTTAAGAGGCTGGGAAAGCATGGGACCAGGAAATTGGCGTTCATGGCAGCCTAAGGATTAATATAGGCCTCACTTCATAATAGGAAGTGTCGTAACTGTTCCTGGTGAAGAGTGAGGGAACATGATTTACGGGACCACCGTAATAAAGTGGCAAAATTAGTGAATAATGGTAGGACCGGTGGTGACTGGCATGTCGCCATGGAGTGTGTCCCAGGGAAAAATACCCATGATTTAATCATCACTCATCGGTCTTAGATCTTAATGGAGTGGCCTCCAATGTGTATAATAATTATGAGACATTAAACCGTATGGTGGGCTAAGAAGTAATTAGTGATAATAACACCAAGTTAAGAGAATGTGTGAAGTGAAATGAGTCGCCGTTCTCTGAGCATCTGTTTACCTCGTGTTCCTGTCCCGAGGATAGTGAAGTTTTTATGGAGTCACGACTTCTTAACTGGGACAAACCAACGGATACCTCGTCCTGCTTTAATAAGAGCCGTGTCGGTGTAGCAGGACATCGAAATGAGATGGTGAATGGAGAAAATAAGGAGCATCAGTCACCCACAGTTGAGTAACCCTTCTAGTTATAGCAGACTGATACTGGCCAGTTAGGTATGTTGTAATTGGGTAGGTTGTGGGTGATCCAGCTACATCAAGTGACCATCAGAGAATATCTGGTAAGTGGTGGTATTATATACAAGTGTTTTGATGGATATATACATGTGCAACCTACCCCCCCTTCATTCAGTTAAACTAATATAATCTATACAGTCCACAATTAATTAGTAGTGCCGTACTTGTGGGTGCTATCCAATTTATACTGGTCTCGGATAGATATGGATAAGATTGTGAGTGTCGAAGGGCCACCTGCAGTGACCAGAGGTGGTTAAGTTTTCTCACATGTCTACACAGGGTGACTACGGTAAACAATATAGTTGTTGTCTCCCAATGAGATTACTCGTATGCATGTAATGTTGAGGTACGTACAGGTAACACCCCTATAAAATTTTCCATATCTGCCCGCTGGTCCTTCGAACCGGATGCAATCAGTGAAAAATTAATTGAATTAATTACTTAATAATTAAGTGACTGATTGAAGAAAGTGGGTATAGGGTACACAAATTTAATCGATCGTGTGGTGGATGATAATTAGCCCAATTAATTGCTAACACATGTGTGGCTAGGATTTATACAAGAGTAAAGTGCAAGAATTACTCTTATAAGGCGCCTACTTAAGTTGTATAATCAGTGATTAATAATTCTCTAACCATGACTGGATCTGATGGAGTTAATGTGGCTGACAAGTCTGTGGATTTTAGAGTAATGAAAGCATCATTACAGGCTATTAAAGGCCATGTGACGAAGGCATACAAGTGCTTGGATTTAATGAATCAAAGAACCGTGAACCCTAATGAATTAAAGTTATATTTAGAGGCTTTAGAGAGTAGATTTGAGTGGTACAAATTGTGATCTAAAGACTGTGAAAGACATCTGCTGGAGAATTGTGCAGATGGAATGGAAATAAATGTTTTAATTAATCAACATTACGAACTGGAAGAAAAACTTCTTGTAAAAGTAAGGCTTTGAATAAATTAAAGGGTGTAAGCCAGGCAGTTGATCAACCTATTAATGCAAAGGGTGGGTTTGCCAAAACCTCCAGAGTACGGTCTGGAGGAAATCAGACTAGGTCGGCAAGAATTAATTGTTCAATTGTAGACCAGTCAGCCAAACAGTTCTAAGGATATAACACATAATGACTCTGAAGTATCTGTCAAGTCTCAAAAGGGAAAAATAATCCCAGTGGTAATAATCATAATTAAGAGTTAAATAGGCACATATCAAGTGACAGGAATCAGTAACAGTGGTTCCTCACGTCAAGGTAAGAGGAATAAGTACCTCAGTAAGAGTAACCCAGTTAATAAGAGGTCAGGCAAGGAAAAGAGAGACTGCCTCTTCTGCAAGGGTACTCATTTCACTAAAAATTGTAATGCCTATAATTCATGGGATATTAAAGTGGAAAGAATGAAAGAACTTGACAGATTTATCAGATGTCTAGACAATCATAATGTAAAGGATTGTCATACCAAATTGAACAGTTGCTATCAATGCAACAAGGGAAGGCACCATACAGTTATGTGCAGGGTTGTATGTAATTCTTATAATAATGGTGACAATAATGATAATGTTAATAACCCTGACACTACAGTGACTGAGGTAAAGGTTGCAGCTAATGGCAATAATGATGGCCTAGCTGAGGTAGCCTTGCCGGTGTTGGGTGTAATAATTCAGGATAAAGGGCATAAATTCAAAACCATGCGACGTCACTCTCCTCAACACTGGTACGGGCCATGTAATATATGGCAGACTACCGCCTAGTAATAATGACTAGAGGAAGTAGTAAATACAGTCACGGTGTCTTACTCATAAAAGGTCAACCCAGTACAAGTATTCTTCTATCGAGAAGGATGTTGAACCAGTCTAATTTGTGGGAGCTGGACAGCATAGGGATTAATATAAATGAGGAAAGTCCAAATGATTCCTTTACTCAGGAACAATACCTGAAGGATGTTAAACGTGAATCTGGACATTACTGGGTGCGACTTCCGTGGAAGCTCAACCGTCCAGAATTACCTACTAATTATAGGATGGCATATGGACAATTAAAGGGCCCAGCTCTGCGAACTGAGCAAGACACCAGAATTGATGACTGCTTATAATGATATAATTAATAAACAGTTAAATAATAAATTGTTCCTACTTCAGGCGACGATAAATGCACACCTTAAGTGCACAGGTGGTCCACTGAGCTAAGTAATTGGGTAAATAATCTTATGTGGACAATTTCCGGGTGTGACGTCAACTGAAGAGGAACTAATGAGGATATGTGAAGGGGTTAATGAAATAATGCAAGGTGCAAGGATGCCCCTGAGGGAATGGAACAGTAATTAGTCCATTTCGAGGGATCAATAAATATGGATAGCCCTGGAGTTGAAATGCCTATATGCAGTAATGTGCTGGGGCTGACTTGGGACACTGAGAGAGACTTGTCATTGTTAAAGTCTCATAATTCCAGTATGCCCAATAAATTAACCCAGAGAGCATAGGCTTAGTGTCACACCTTACAATAAGAGGGAAATTGTTAATACCAGAAGCATGGAAGCTTGAGTGTGCTTTGGATGGAGCCCTACCTGAGGAGTTAACAGGTGGAAAGAATTAATGGGGGATTATGTAAATACCAATGTTGGAGTTCCCAAGCCAGGTGGCCAGTGAAGATGGGAAAATTGTACTCCACATTATTTAAGTCGTGTAACAACGACATCTGCCCGGCCGCAGTGTGGAAAATATTTTAATTTTCCGAAGCTATAGTGCCTAATAGGTGTTTAATGTGTTGATTTGGGTCAAAAAATGTATTTGAAAATGGAATAGAACCAACCGGGTTCCCTCTGCGCCTTCGCGGATGTGCGGGGGAAGAGGTCGAGTCGGGGCATGGAGGAGCGGGAGTGTTTTGAATGAACTTAAGAGGCTGGGAAAGCATGGGACCAGGAAATTGGCATTCACAGCGGCCTGAGGATTAATATAGGCCTCACTTCATAATAGAAAGTGTCGTAACTGTTCCTGGTGAAGAGTGAGGGAACATGATTTACGGGACCACCGTAATAAAGTGGCAAAATTAGTGAATAATGGTAGGACCGGTGGTGACTGGCACCTCGCCATGGGGTGTGTCCCGGGGAAAAATACCCATGACTTAATCATCACTCATCGGTCTTAGATCTTAATGGAGTGGCCTCCAATGTGTATAATAATTATGAGACATTAAACCGTATGGTGGGCTAAGAAGTAATCAGTGATAATAACACCAAGTTAAGAGAATGTGTGAAGTGAAATGAGTCGCCGTTCTCTGAGCATATGTTTACCTCGTGTTCCTGTCCCGAGGATAGTGAAGGTTTTATGGAGTCACGACTTCTTAACTGGGACAAACCAACGGATACCTCGTCCTGCTTTAATAAGAGCCGTGTCGGTGTAAGATAAGATAAGATAAGATTTCGTTCGGATTTTTAACCCCGGAGGGTTAGCCACCCAGGATAACCCAAGAAAGTCAGTGCGTCATCGAGGACTGTCTAACTTATTTCCATTGGGGTCCTTAATCTTGTCCCCTAGGATGCGACCCACACCAGCCGACTAACACCCAGGTACCTATTTGCTGCTAGGTGAACAGGACAACAGGTGTAAGGAAACGTGTCAAAATGTTTCCACCCGCCGGGAATCGAACCCGGGCCCTCCGTGTGTGAAGCGGGAGCTTTAGCCACCAGGCCACCGGGCCACCCCAGGCCACCGGGCCACCGGACATCGAAAATGAGATGGTGAATGGAGAAAATAAGGAGCATCAGTCACCCACAGTTGAGTAACCCTTCTAGTTATAGCAGACTGATACTGGCCAGTTAGGTATGTTGTAATTGGGTAGGTTGTGGGTGATCCAGCTACATCAAGTGACCACCAGAGAATATCTGGCAAGTGGTGGTATTATATACAAGTGACCCCTCAAGGAAGGTTCCTTGATGTTGGTGAGGGGCTCTTGATTTAGGGAATTGGATCTGTGCTCCAGTTCCCCAAATTAAGCCTGAATGCCTTCCACATACCCCCCCCCCAGGCGCTGTATAATCCTCCGGGTTTGGCGCTTCCCCCTTGATTGTAATAATAATAATAATAATAATAATAATATATACAAGTGTTTTTATGGATATATACATGTGCAACCTACCCCCCCCTTCATTCAGTTAAACTAATATAATCTATACAGTCCACAATTAATTAGTAGCGCCGTACTTGTGGGTGCTATCCAATTTATACTGGTCTCGGATAGATATGGGGTGACTATGGTAAACAATATAGTTGTTGTCTCCCAATGAGATTACTCGTATGCATGTAATGTTGAGGTACGTACAGGTAACACCCCTAGAAAATTTTCCATATACTCAGTCCCTCAGCCTGGAGTCGATGTGTTCAGTCCCTCAGTCTTGATAAAAGACTGAACACATCGACTCCAGGTTGAGGGACTGATTACCTCAAACTCCTTCTCTTATTCCACCTCTTTCTGCATTGGGCTGAAGAACTGTGGCAGCATATGGGCGCCTGGCAAAAATCTGAGAACAGCGTTCCGATACCTTAGTAAGGAATCGTTCAAGACACTGTACACCGTGTACGTCAGTCCCATACTAGAGTATGCAGCACCTGTTTGGAACCCACACTTGATCAAGCACGTCAAGAAATTAAAGTGCAAAGGTTTGCAACAAGGTTAGTTCCAGAGCTAAGGGGAATGTCCTACGATGAAAGGTTAAGGGAAATTGGCCTGACGAGACTGGAGGACAGGAGGGTTAGGGGAGACATGATAACGGCATACAAAATACTGTGTGGAATAGACAATGTGGATAGAGACAGGATGTTCCAGAGAGGGCACACAGTAGTATGTCATTGATGTCAACTATGCCTATATACCTTGTATATATACTTGTAGAAATAAAGATATTATTATTATTAGTAGTAGTACTACTCTGACTTTTTTGGGTTATCCTAGGTTCTCTACACATATGCTGCTATGTATGATAATTCTATGTAACTGTATTTGTGTATACCTGAATAAACTTGCTTACTTACTTACTTACTTAAGTTAGTCATCAAACACAACTCGTTCTCTGTGAAGGACAGTCTGATCAAAGTTATCAGTTCTGAGAACTTTCTTTTAATTTCATCCTCAATGCAAATATAGAGATAAATTGTTAAATAAACGTAGAATTGTTTTCGAATTGTGTTACGTGTATAGTTGTTTCTCAAGTCAGAATATTGACAAAAAAGAGGAGTAAACTATGATGGTTCTGGGGAAGTACTCGCCTTCCCGATAACTCGTAAATGGTTTGTTGTTGCCATCGTGTCCATTGATTCTGTGATGCTTTCTCCTTTTTTGAAGCATTTTGACGCTTGAATCCCGGCCCAGGTGCAGAGTGGAGTGCATAACACTCTCTAGGATATGGCAGAGTAAGTGTCTCTTAGATAAGTGGGATATTAAGATGTGTTCAAGGAGGGAAAAACATCATTGAGATGTGATGAGAAATGTTATGCTCCCGACGACTGTTTTGTGTTTATTATTTGTTATTTGTCAAGTCAGTCTCGTTATCTGACTCATTTTAATTAGATGTTGGGAAAGAAGTGTAGTTACTGCAATAGAGGTGTAGTTATTGCACGTAGCTTAGAGACTTGGCTCTTAGTGTGTTGGGAAGCTGTTTCTCTCTTAACCTTATTTACTCTAGATAAGTACTTAAGTTTATGTAGGTATAGATACATATTAGCATAATTATTATACATAGTTTAACATGGGTGTATATTACTTAGGATAACCCCAAAAAATGTCAGTAACTTATTTCCATTGGGGTCGTTTGGGATCACATCTTGTCGACATTGGGATTGTTAATTTATTTAGGTACTGGTACACTCAAGTATAATTATCATATATAAAAGTGTGTAAATTGTTAGGTAACAGGATGTGTAACTAATGCGACATTTTATTGTGGCAACGTTTCGTTCTTCAGGAGCTATGTCAAGCTGTTTAACAGCTTGACAAAGCTCCTGGGGAGCAAAACGTTGCCACAATAAAATGTCGCATTAGTTGCAGGTGTTCTTTTACCTAATGTATTGTCAGTAATTTTATCAGCATTATTACTATGTTCTCCCCTCCAGGGAAGTTCCTTGATGCTGGTGAGGGGCTCTTGATCTAGAGAATTGGATCTGTGCTCTGGTTCCCTGAATTGAGCCTGAATACCTTCCATCCCCCCCCCTTTCATGCACTGTATAATCCTGTGGGTTTAGCACTCCCCTGTGATAATAATAATTATTACTACATTCAAATTACGTAGAATAGCCTGACTGAAATGATTATAACCAAAAGTGAATAATCGAGATTTTACTGACATTACCAAGTCACTGATCAGTCAGAATTAATATCTCCTTACTGGTGAAGACTTATCCTGGATATAATTTTTTTTTAAATTGTTGGTAGTCACAAAAATAATCTACTCTAACCAAATCCTCCTTAACTTAACCTGAAACTAATTTACTGTACCTTAACAATATACTAAACCTGTGGCATGGATAAATTACTGACATCAGTGATTTGAAAAAATTGTGACTTCACCAGACACCTCAAAAGTTGTTTGCTTGGCTCCCAGAACTCTGTAGGTAAAATATATTGACCACTAACCCACGAATTGCAAATAAATACTGGACAGTGTTTTGGTCTGTTCTGGACCATAATCAGGCCGTAAGATGGAAAATTTGTAACTTTTATTCTTCTGCAGTTTTTAATTTTTAATTTTTGTGAATAATCTTATAAATTTAGTCTAGCAATTATTTTTAATTTTCTGAAAACTTGTACTAGACCCATAAACATAAGCTTCACACCAATATAGCCTTTTATTGTTAAATAATCTTAGTTCTAATTTAAATTTGTCCAAAATGGTGTTGAATACTAGTGGGCTTCAAAATTACTAGTTTACTGTACTAAATTAATATATAATGAAATAAAATTAATATTATTATATTTTCAGATTAGAAGATGAATTAATTGGAGAGGGTTTAGATTATGAATATGATCTGGATGAAGAGGAAGAAGAAGCTCTCTTGGCTGGTGAAGATCCATCTCAGGAGGTCAGTTGAAGCACTTGATGCATTAATTTGTTAATACAGTTTGTCTCATTAACCTGTGTGTTTTCTTGTGTGCTGACTAAGGTCTTCACAGCTCACAGCTAGGTGGGTACAAATAAGAAGCATGTCTGTCTGGTGCTCAGTAGATGGAGGATCAAGCCTCCACCATGTCTTGTGCTGAATGACCCATGTGGGTTTAGCACTTAACCCTTTCAGGGTTGACAGGCCCTCTCCCAGACTTGTTCTCTGGGTCAAAAAATATTTGAAAAAAAAAAAAAATTAATTTTTCTTATGAAAAGATAGATTCTTTTTTTCTAAACTTTATAGGCTAAAAAATTTTTTTTGCCATCAATACTTACCGAGATATGGAGGCATGAAGTTGACAGAAAGTGAATCGCATATGGCAACATCACCGACTGCCAGTCACCTGGTAATCGTTTATTTTGTTTTTTATACTTTTTTCTATTATTTTTTAATATTTTTTTCTTTTCAAGTAACTTTTATGGCCTATGAGACTAATATGAGCACTATTTTGTAAATTTTTACTGTTTCTATACTACACAACTGCACAAACACTGTTGTCATTATATTGTTTACAAAACTTGTTTACACAAATGAACAAACTTGTTTGCACAAATGAACAATATAAAATGTTGTTTATTACTATTTTTCTATATTTTATATTCACATATACAGTCACAGGACATGTTTCTAGAAGTTCTGAAGTCTGTGGAAGTCTTTGAAACATGGTGTTATACACAGTGGTATTTTACACTCCTCACACATAAAACGAGTGTCTCTGCATTGTTGTGGGCGTTTTTTTTGTATGTGCACAGACATAACACCTCTTCTGAGCCTTTTTCTTGAAAGCAGTAGCAGGCAGTTTTATAAGGAAGTGATCACCATGCCTCAGACGAGAAGGTAGTTGTTGATAATTTGGTGGGCGGTTTTCTATTGCAGGTGTTGTTCCTTGGTACTTGAATATTATTTGTCTGATGACAGACAAACAAAATTTGCCGTATGGGGGTTTGTTTCTGGTCTTCATCTTATACATATTATAAGCATTGATCATGGAAATGTCCAGAATATGGAAAAAATAGTTTTATGTACCACTTGTAACTCTTGCGAACACAATCAACAAACCCAATCTGCATGTCACATTTGTCCACTGAGCGCATATTGAGGGTGTAGTCCATCACAGCTGCAGGTTTTAGAATGGGTTCATTGGTCTCTCTATTCTGCCTGCCAGTGTTTGTCATTTTGTTAGGGTGAACTGATGACAACAGTGTGACATCTCATTTGTCATGCCACCAAAATGCCATGATGTCATTGGCAGCAAATGCCTGCACCTCACCTCTGTGAGTGCCAGCATCAAACCTGGGCATATGCTTACGATTTCCACGCACTGTGCTACACACGTCTGTCATGTTCACTCACAAAAAATCACTGAGTGAGGGGCTTGTGTACCAGCTTTTTTTTTTTTTTTTTTTCAACAAACCGGCCGTATCCCACCTAGCCAGGGTGGCCCAGAAAGAAAAACAAAAGTTTCTCTTTTCAAATTTAGTAATTTATACAGGAGAAGGGGTTACTAGCCCCTTGCTCCCGGCATTTTAGTCGCCTCTTACAACACGCATGGCTTACTGAGGAAGAATTCTGTTCCACTTCCCCATGGAGATAAGAGGAAATAAACAAGAATAAGAACTAGAAAGAAAATAGAAGAAAACCCAGAGGGGTGTGTATATATGTGCTTGTACATGTATGTGTAGTGTGACCTAAGTGTAAGTAGAAGTAGCAAGACCTACCTGAAATCTTGCATGTTCATGAGATAGAAAAAAGGACACCAGCAATCCTACCATCATGTAAAACAATTACAGGCTTTCATTTTACACTCACTTGGCAGGACGGTAGTACCTCCCTGGGCGGTTGCTGTCTACCAACCTACTACCTAGGTTGTGTACCAGTTATCAGTATATAATATATGCCCTTTACCAAGATATGGTTCCATCATTGATCTAACCACATCACCAGAGATGCCCAATAACTTCCTGGTATTTTGCAATGTATAACTTCCAGTGTACACAATAATATCCACTGTAGCAGTCACAAAGCACAAATAACTTTATACCAAAGCGTTTCCTCTTGCTTGGTATGTACTGCTTGTAGACAGCCTGTACTGTCTGCACAGACAGCCTATGCTGTCTGCCAGCTTAGTTCATATTTTGCAGCACTAAGGTGCTGCCCTCTAGGCCAGCCCAAAGTCAGTGGGACACTGGTCCCACATGCCCTCACTCACTCAGCGGCCTAGCAGCAAGACACAAGCCCCACTAGCGCTCTCCCTTGTGGGCATGGCCTTACTGGGCCATGGGCACAACACACAAGACTGTGTACCCACCACGACTTTGCAAATAAAGTAAAGAAGCCTCCGAAGACCTATAATTGACTCCACGCCACTGCATCACCAAATAATCGCATTAAGCATGCTTGAATGAGAGTCTTCCTTTGAATAGAATCAAAGACTCATAAATAACAAGCTTCCTGAAACCTGGGGTTGCAATCAGGCGGTCTGTTGACCAGTATGATTTGACACTGTGCTTATACACATGTGGCATAAGCATTATTCTTTCTTCTTTCAACAAACTTGCCGTATCCCACCGAGGCGGGGTGGCCCAAGAGGAAAAACAAAAGTTTCTCCTTTTAAATTTAGTAATACTATATACAGGAGAAGGGGTTACTAGCCCCTTGCTCCCGGCATTTTAGTCGCCTCTTACGACACGCATGGCTTACGGAGGAAGAATTCTGTTTACTTCCCCATGGAGGTAAGAGGAAATAAACAAGAACAAGAACTAGTAAGAAAAATAGAAGAAAACCCAGAGGGGTGTGTATATATATGCTTGTACTTGTATGTGTAGTGTGACCTAAGTGTAAGTAGAAGTAGCAAGAAGTACCTGAAACCTTGCATGTTTATGAGGCAGAAAAATGGACACCAGCAATCCTACCATCATGTAAAACAATTACAGGTTTCCGTTTTACACTCACTTGGCAGGACGGTAGTACCTCCCTGGGCGGTTGCTGTCTACCAACCTACTACCTAGGATAAGCATTATTGTGGCAAAGAAAAGATGCATCTCAGCCACAGTTGTGTCCTTCCACTGGTGTAGGCATGATTTTAGTGAAAGTATTGTTTGCCATGGTGTACTCGAAGTATCTGTTGCTTTCCCTAACAATAATTTCCATCAGGGGTTCGTCAAAGAATAACTCGAAACATTCTAATTCATTGGCATTGTTCCCAAGTGTACAAGATGGCCTTATTCCACTTTGACTTTCATCAAAGTGATGGGGATTGGGAACAAAATTGTCAGCTTCCTGCCAATCCCAGGTACGGTCTGCTGGTGGATACTGGATATTGAAAGGTGGTTGTGGTTGTGGAGGCTGTGGTTGTGGAGGTTGTGGTTGTGGAGGTTGGTGTGGTGGGTGGGTGGGGGATGGTGGCCTTTGTTGTTCTGCTGAGTCAGCAGCATGGGTGGCAGCATGGCCCACTGCTGGTGCCTCACGACTGGCACCACCACTACCACCAGCAGATGCATGCACATTTTCCATCCCAATTGCAACATTATCATCTTCATTTTCACTATCTGTTCCTGTTGTACAGCCACGGGATGTACTCCAAGATGTACTCCTTCCCCTTGGAATAGCATATGGCACACTACCAGAGCGCATATACCGTCATGTATACTGACGCTTCACTGGAGAATATTCTACTTCACTCTCGCTACTGGAACTGTTTTCAAGAGCTTGGAGTTCGTATTCACTATCACTATCATCACCATTGCTCACATCTGAGTCCTGGATACAGCTGAATGTGAACAAGACGGCCCAGCACCAAAGGTGGAAGGTTGACTGTCGTCTGGGTTTTCCTCACTATTACCATTATTATGGTCATTAGTTTTGGTCACAACCTCATCAAAACCTTGAAACTCATCTTCACTGACACTTCCCTCTGTATTAGAACTATCACTTGGAAACAAAAGTGTCCCAGTTCGCCAAGGAGTGAGGAGTTTCTTACCGTGAGGCATGGTGAGCAAGGTGTAATAAAATGGCGTTCCCACACTGCACCACTGGGTCCAGGATTTTTTTCCTACCATGCACACTGACCACGCAGACCTATTCTCTCACATCTAGGTCTACCAGCCTTTTCCCGCTTGATTTGAAGGCGCTAGAATTTATGCGTACTAGTACGTCAATAACCCTGGCACGTAAGCCGTACTTGTACGTTGGAAACCCCGAAAGGGTTAACATGAATTAAACAACTTCACAGTTCACAAGATTATATAAGAATATTATATAAGGAATGTAGAGGAGAGAGAGAGATTTTGGGAGATGTTAAGTGAATGTATAGGAGCCTTTGAACCAAGTGAGAGAGTAATTGTGGTAGGGGACCTGAATGCTAAAGTAGGAGAAACTTTTAGAGAGGGTGTGGTAGGTAAGTTTGGGGTGCCAGGTGTAAATGAAAATGGGAGCCCTTTGATTGAACTTTGTATAGAAAGGGGTTTAGTTATAGGTAATACATATTTTAAGAAAAAGAGGATAAATAAGTATACAAGATATGATGTAGAGCGAAATGACAGTAGTTTGTTGGATTATGTATTGGTAGATAAAAGACTGTTGAGTAGACTTCAGGATGTACATGTTTATAGAGGGGCCACAGATATATCAGATCACTTTCTAGTTGTAGCTACACTGAGAGTATAAGGTAGATGGGATACAAGGAGAATAGAAGCATCAGGGAAGAGAGAGGTGAAGGTTTATAAACTAAAAGAGGAGGTAGTTAGGGTAAGATATAAACAGCTATTGGACTATATATGGGCTAATAAGAGCATAGGCAATGGGGTCGAAGAGGTATGGGGTAGGTTTAAAAATGTAGTGTTGGAGTGTTCAGCAGAAGTTTGTGGTTACAGGAAAGTGGGTGCGGGAGGGAAGAGGAGCGATTGGTGGAATGATGATGT